CTTGGGTGCCAGTTTCACGATCAAGCTTGCCAATCCCAGATTTCGCAGTGTCGCTACCAGCCAAACTGGATCCGGGGCTCAACCTCTTTCGATGACGACCAAAAAATAATTTTTGGGCTGTTTGCGACATTGAACGCGAAACTTTCACACAAGGTGCTGTTGACCAAGCCGAGCCCATTGCTCTATTCAAAACCCCACGTTTCATTGTAAAGTTTGGATATACAGGCGTCTTTATGTTTGTAAGCGTGATGCGATATGTAGAGTGGTCATCGTTCAATGTCAAGTCGCTGGACCCTGGCAGAGCAAAAGACGCAGAGGGACCTCTTTGTGTAACTCAGCTACTTTGCATGACTGGAAGGATGGAAGGATGATACTGTATACTGTTGACAAAAGCCCGTACATTGCGAGCTAACAGCCATTTCCTCACAATAGCCACTGTTGTCCACTCTATGACATGTGAGCGATTCTCCTGCTTCAGACATTCATTTCCATGATTGGATTATGTTGATCCGAGTTGATTTGACCGAGATACAGCCAAAGAGGGTTTACATCAATCCACACATCTAACCATGCTCTATGTTGCTCAACTGAAGTAACCTTGTATGAGCGTAACTCAGCCAAATCAACTCGGATCAACATAATCCAATCATGGAAATGAATGTCTGAAGCAGGAGCATCGTTCTACTGTCATAGAATGGGCAACATTGCCGATTGTGAGGAAATGGCTGTTAGCTCGCAACGTATGGGATATTGTCAATAGTATACAGTATCATTCTTCCATCCTTCTAGTCATGCAAAGTAGCTGAGTTACACAAAGAGGTCCCTCTGCGTCTTTTGCTCTGCCAGGGTCCAGCGACTTGACATTGAACGAAGACCACTCTTCATATAGCATCATGCTTACAGCATGGTAAAAACATAAAGACGCCTGTATCTCCAAACTTTACAATCAAACGTGGGGTTTTTATTAGAGCAACCTGTTCGTCGGGGTCAAAGGAATCTTGTGTGCCAGTTTCACCTTCATCGTGGCCAATCCCAGATTTCGCAATGTCGCCACCAGCCAAAGTGGATCCAGGGGTCGGCCTCTTCGACGACGACGACGACGACCAAAGAATATTTTTTGGGCTGTTTGCGACATTGAACGCGAAACTTTCACACAAGGTGTTGTTGGCCAAGCCGAGCACATTGCTCTAATAAAAACCCCACGTTTCATTGTAAAGTTTGGAGATACAGGCGTCTTTATGTTTTACCTATGCTGTAAGCGTGATGGAGTTGCTTTTTCCTAGTGGATGGTGTCGGCTGCATTAACGGAAAGATGAAGAGCTGAGTGAAACCGCACATGGTGGTTACACAAACGCGTCCTTGACAGGTTGCTACACAAATGGATGATGATGATGATTGCCTTTTGTGAAGGTACGTAAGTAAAACAGCATCCAATAATGAAGGTGTGTCAAGGTATGTATCACATTTGCATGTAGGAGAAGGTCGAGCTGCATAAACCAATTTGTATATGTAAAAAGATACGTATACATAGTACGAGTGATCTTATTGGTGCTCATGGTTGTGATTGGTATACGTATGTATGCAAAGTGGACCTTTTATTTGTTAAGGATGTGGAGCATACTAGATCCAAGGATTGTTTCTGGGACCTGATAGTAAGCTAATGGTGTGGTCGTTGTTGGACCATATCATGTACAATGAAAAACACCTTTTGCTGCATGTGCTGAAGATCCGATTAAAATTCATGTGGTATAATCTATGGTGGTGGTGATGGATGTGTGATCCCAATGTGGGATTTAACTTGGCGCCCAGTGTAGGAATTTAACTTGTTGACGACTCACTCGGAAATTAAATTTGAGAACAGCACCTCAACGACTTGAAGACAAGTGCTTCTCTTCTCTTTCTCTCTCCTCTCCTTTTATCTCATTCACCATAGCCCCATCAAGGTAATGCGCTTGTTGGTTGTGAGATATTAATAAAACGCTGAACATTCATAAGCAGAGAGTGCGATAGGTTGTTATAGCCAGCTGTTGGTGTAATGAACAATATTGGTTTGACGCTAGCACCATGGGACAGGTAGCAGCTGATGCTTTTGGGCAACCAGTGGCAGTTTATCAAACCAAACCTATCTTTGATGGAGAACCAGAACCTCCTCGCCTTCATTTACCTCTTGACCCACCAGCTCGGAACATGCTTTCTAAACCTCTTATTTTGCATTTAGTGGGTAATCATTATTATCCACTAATCATCAAACCTTCGATTCGCCTCGAATGGCCGCCTGTTCCTTTCTGGCACCGCGAGCTTTGGGATGAACGTCAACCCTCACAATCTTACAAGGCAACATGGAAATACTTGCACATCAAGAAGGCCAAGCCAGGGACCCAATTCACTCCTAATGGGTAAGCATTGTGGTATCACAAGATAGCATTTTGTTCAGCTGCAATGATAGTAACTCAAATATGTATAGGATCTGCCGGTACCAGAAAAAAAGTTGCTAGGCCAAACACTGCTGGTCGCTCCAGATAGGCATCCTTTTGGTAGCAATGGCTGATGTTGGATACATTGTCTTAAATAAACGCCGCTTCCATATATATTTTATTTGCAATTACAACAATGAAACTATGTATATCAAGATTACAGTGATTGTCAATCATGGTATTTACGTATACAGGATGTCATCAATGCCATTCGAGAAGAACACAAGAACGTTATCAGCAATTGCAAGTCCCGCGCATTGGTAATTGATGCACGCGCCGTATAACAATTTCAGACGCGGCTGTTGTATCTATTTTCCACCACGTATTGCACTATGAATGACGCCCTCGTCGAAGCCATTGTCAACTACAGCCAGCTATGTCACGAAGCGAAAAAACCTGTGGTAGCAACATGGCGTCCCTACTTTATTGAACGATGTGCTCATTGGTGTGTCTACATTGAGACGGAATTGCTTGCCATGCCAGACGCTGAAGCCGAAGCTTGTCGACAAAAGGCTATCGAGCTATCGTCAACAACGATCCCAGAGTTATCAACGCTTATGGATGCCTTACGTTCTTTTTGCACCACGCTTCTTGGAAATGCCTTTGTCAACAACGAGCTCTATTGGATGGTGATGTCGACATACGAACTATACAACCCTGACCTTGATCCAAAAAAGGCCCTTTTGGATGTAAGTTGTCATTCGATTGAATGGATGCTGTGGGTATTGATTTTTCCTTCGTAGGATGTCGCCAATGCAGTATGTAAACCAGCAACTCTCAATGTTTTGGATGCCATGTTGATGTAGTAAGTAAGGCTTGTTTGTTTCCATGACGACAAGGGCTCATCCAGATACAAAAGGTTGACAGGTTTTCTCTGTCGATCCATTTGGCCCTTACATTTCGGATGATCTGCACCAGATTAGAACCTTGAAGCTATTGACCACGTGAATGATACCAACAATTGATGCTATTAGAACACTAGCATTGGCTCCATCCACCCATCAACGAGTGCTTTTACTACTACCAAAGGAGGGCCCCCAATGATGCGTCAACCAACGACCCCCAAGTAGCGTGAAGGTAGTTTAACCCCCTTTTGGCATGCATAATAATACCATCGAATAAAAGGCACTGGCCCTTCGCACATGTATGAAGTCGTTTAATACCTGCCTCTGAAAGAGACGCCATTTCCCATCTAATTCCTGCAAGGCAAAACAGTTTGGTCGTTAAGGGTCTAGATCTATTAAATACATTCATAACAATCAAGTGGATGAAGTCGCATATGCTTAACGCAGTATGTAGCTATGTGTATCTATTTAGGGTATGCGTCGTTCATGATCCTCATCTACTAGTGTATCTACTTCACCAAAAACTTCTTCGTCGAGTGCAACTTGTCCTCGTTTCCGGATCTCGGTATTATAGGATTTACCAGGCGTATCTTTCACTATAATCAAGTAGTACTATCAAGCAACGATATGTCAATGTCTATCTTTTTTGTCACACACATTGAGCAAGCTTACCCAAAGACCACTGCAAGCGACCATGTAGAATATGGCTGTAACGTATGGAGCTTTTGTTGCACGAAGATGAAAAGGATCGTCAATAGATGTAAAAATGGGGTTGGTTGTTGTTACTTACCCCAGTAAGGATAATGTGGAGAGTCCACCGGAATATAGACAAAGAGCAAAGCGTACACGGTGAAACAAAGAAATGCAGCAATGCAAGCTATCCCGTTGAACAACATCCATTTTTAGTGATGGGAGCCCTTTGTTGACCAAAGAAGAAAGAGCATTTACATACCATAAGGGGCGGTGACAGGTCTTGCATTGTGCGGTTCCCTTTTCCTCAAAACCAATACGCCAATAACAGTCATGAAATAGAATGCCTTTTGAAAAGAACGTAATGAGTCTTGGTACAATAATGTGTTCTTGGGTGTTTCTTACGTAGTGTGGATATCCCGTGAATGCAATGTAGAATTGGTATACGGCTCCTCGAGGCATGATAAGAGTATAGAGGATCGTCAAAGCGTATTGAAGCAAGTAGGCATTGACAGGACTTTGTACGCGTGGATCAACGTGTCCAAAAGTACGACCAAAAGGAAAAAGGCCAGCTCGACTTGCCTCCATAATCAATCTTCCAGCTGAAAAGTTCATCGCTGCTCCTGATCCAAATGAGCTGAGTCCAATGAAAATAGGAAGTACAGTGGATGCGAAGTTTTCTCCAAGAGACTTTGTGAAGCTACATAGCATGGATAAGATCACCGTTAGACACACAACGTGATTGCATGTAGCATAGATGGATGTACATACAAGGCAGCAGCCACAATCATATTCGTCTCCATGACACCTTGGCCGAGAACCACGAGATAGGCAATGTTTGTGAGGACATACAAAACAGTGGTGGATAACAATGATGCAGCAAGTGCTTTGGGGAGACTCTTGATAGGATCCTACATACATTTCATGGTAAGCCCACCGAATCCAAATGCATCACCATAATATCTAACCTTAACTTCATCCATAATGTAATTGAGATTCTGCCATCCACTGTAACTGCTTTGTACCTATGCTCTGCATTTATAAGCCGTTGCATAATGACGTTGTATTCAAACCAGGCCTGCTTACATAATAAATTGCTGATGCATATGGTGCAATGCTGGTAGCTGTCCCTTGAAACGATAAAGCAGAACCCATATCCGCATCCCCTGGCAAGAATCCCATCGCCGATAAGACACCAACAAAGAGAACAAGACCGAGAATAGTCAACTTGACAACCGTCAAACATGTCATTACACGTAGCGATGCCTAAGAAGCGAAAATCAGGATCCTCGCGATGTCATTATTCACAACCCCACATATACCTTGCTCGAAAGGATATTCACCAAGGTGAGTATGGTTGCACATGCCACTGCACAAGATGCATATGAGAAATCCAGCATGTATAGCACTATGCAGCAATAACAAACTCTCACCTGACCAGCCACGTTCCATCCAATCCGACTTGTAATCCGAGCCAAAGAATGCATAATTCATGTAGGATCCAAAAACAGTGCCTTGGGATGAGACGCCACTTGCTCTGTTGCTAAGGCTCCACATGGTAAACAGGAACGCCAAGAGGTATTTTGGTCTTCGATAGATGTATTCGAGATAGCCTACTTCACCACCACTAGAGCCCATCATTACCCGTTACTTTTGTGTTCCAAGTCGAATGATTGTCATTACCTTCTAGGCAGCTAAAAAGAGATCCATCAGTATCAACATTGTTGTATGAGTTCGATCCTTACCATAGTACCCAACTCTGCAAATGTCCAGGCACCAGCCATTGAAAGAACACCTCCCAGGAACCATATAAAGACGTTCATAAGACCTGACCCAACGAGCTTCATGGTAAACGAAGGTCCAACAAAAATGCCAGATCCTATCATATAACTGATATTGACAGCTGCACCGGTTACCCAACCAATTCGACGTTGGAGTCGCTGATCTGTTGTAAGAGCGATTAGCTTGCAAAAGTGGTAGATGGCATTAGTGTGAATGGGGCACTTGCCTCCAACAGCCAATGGCTCCATGTGTTCAATTTGTTCAGCATGACGATGATGTTCAGTGGATTGCCTTGGTGAATCAAGCAACGGCTCGTGTGCCTCCATAACGAGTGTGTGAAAATGAAAGGAAGAAGCACCGATCATGCAAAATGCAGGGTCACTCAATCAGATGATCTCATGATCACCATTGTAATTCCGGTCTACTTAGATGTATACATGTAAATACTACTTTTTATTCAAGGTGCATTAATCATCCCATCCACTCCAATCTTCATCTTCTGTATCTTTGGGTAATATAGACATCTTCTTGCTATCAACTGGTTTTGTCTGTGGTTGTGGATCATGGTGTGGTATTTCAATCTTATCTTCGGGGTCATCCCATCCACTCATATCATCTTCCTCCTCCTCCTTGGGTGAAATGATGGGTGCTGTTGTCGTTGTCTTGTTTGATGTCACAGGAATGTGTTCATGGGAAGGTGGTATCTCCAATACATCATCAGGATCATCCCATCCACTCATGTCCACGTGATCATCCTCTGGTTCCATTGAAAGGCTCGAGGCTGTCAAATTGGATTGCGGCCGTTGTTCATGTGTTAAAGACATCTTTTCTTCGGGATCATCCCAACCGCTCATATCATGATGATCATCTTCTGGATGTATTGAAAGGCGATTGTCAGCGTGTGATGGACTTTGATCGATTGCATGAATGTTGTCATCATCCGGATCATCCCAACCACTCATATCCACATCCTCTTCATCCTCTGGTGCCCATGTCATAGGTCGCGTATTGGTAGCTGGTGGGGTGTGTTGTATGCTGTTGTTGTTGTTGTTGCTATGACTCCTGTTGCTCTGTTCTGTGGTTGCCATGGGTGATGGACTGCTCATGGATTCTGCTGATTGGATTTCACGGATCATGCTGCTACGTAAATCGGTATCGGCAAAGAGTGCACAAATGAGACCCACAAGCTCTGATTTTTCAAACATAAAGAGTTCGCCCCCTCGAAACTTGGCCATGATATCCCGTAATCCCATTTCCAAGAGATCCTTGACAAGCCAAAACTTACGCCAACTTGGCACCAAGGTAGCTACAAGTGGTTCAGTGGCAGGCTGGCCCTCGTATCCATCAAATACATCCACCAACTTGAGCACGCTGTTGAAGCTCACTGCAATGAGATGTGAATCCTCGGCACCAATATCATGAATGTGCTCCACGTCACCAATCAATCGAGATAGCACGCTGTCAACAATGCTGCTCAACAACTTCATGTACAAGGGCTCGTCGACCACACCACGCACGGCAGGAGCAATCTGGGTCACTTGATAAACAGCACGTTCAATGGCCTCCTCACATTCTTGCTGTCGTTGTCGATTTTCAGCCATCATGGCAAAACCTTGTGTCTTGTCGAGAATGGCATGTAATACTTGGATGCGCTGAGCCAGTACTACCTCATACCACGACTTGCCCAAAGATTCCAGTCGTGTCGCTGCCTCTTGAAACATCTTTTCTTTGGCAAAATGCACGCGTAAATCATTGGCAAGCCAAAAGCAATCGTTGCGAAAAACAAGTGCAGCAGCAGGATGGGATAGGTAGTGATTGCGGTGATAGCAAGGCATAATGGCTCGAAATAGATCCAATAAATCGGAAACGGCAGCATGCAATTTGCGAGCTGATACAGGATGAGATGGGCCAAGTTGACCTGCCTCTGTCATAACATCGGCCAACAAGAGTGAAAGGAGCTTGGGTGTTTGCGTAATCTGGTAATGATCTCGTCCTTGTGATCCCACATCCTCAACATCATAGAGTCGTCGTAGCATCACCTTGCGTCCTTCCAAAAGCACCTTTTCGCTACGCTTTGTTGCAAAATGCATATCGATATTATCCACATACTGCTTCACCAATCCAGGTTGCTGATCCGGTGTCAATAATCCATAATCCGATACACATCGTTGTTCAAAGAGAGTTGCTTCTTCTGCCACACGATCAAAATCATGAAGTTCTACTGCCGACGAAGGTACAGCTGCTGATAACCCCTTATCAATGAGAAGTTTCAACATTTCTGGTAATATCAGGTTGCCAAATAAATGTCGAATGTCTTGATCCGTGTCGAGTAAATGGGTTGATAAAAACTCCAACAAGGTCGTCAATTGTGTCATCATAGCGCATGCATCTCCTGGAACATCTTGTGTTGTTGTTGTCAATCGTAATTCGTTGTCATGGATATCAAATCGAGCTGTTGTGCAATGATTGAAGAAGGGTGTCACCAAATGCTTATAGATTCTACGTTTGACACCTGCCAATTGTGCTGGGAGCATTTCGAGTTGTCGGAAACACACAAACAAAGCCGTAGGTCGTTGCATAATCTTCATTGTGTGCTCTTCCTCATTGTATTGAATTGCATTCTCCAATGATGATTCGAGTACGTCGATCAATCTCTTATACAAGTTGTCCTTTCGTGTCTGCAACAAGTCGAATACGTTCAATGCACTCCAATCCAAATCATGCGGCCTCGTTTCCTTGACTTTTTCCAAAGCTGTCTCGAATGCAAGCAAGCGATCCGTTGCCTCGACAAGAGCTGATCGATCAAGCATCTCTTCCACCCTGTCACCTTGTTCCACAAGTTCTTGTACTGTACGCAACGCTGCTATTTCTCGTTGATTCGTCGATGTCTGTTTACATACATCCTCATATCGTTTCAACGCGTCCGTGATTATACTATCATCCACCCTATTCTCCACAGTTGATGTGTATTGACCAGCAAGTCTGACGAGTCGATCGTGCAGTTCATCGTGTTGTGTATAAGACGAGATGAATGTGTCCACATTGTCGCGTACAATTTGAAAGAGCTGTTGTTGAAGCACGCTGCTTGATTGGTCAACACCTTGCAAAAGTGTTGCTAGCTTCTCCACGCTGTAGTTGTTATCGTTCAAGAGCTCATTCAGTTGTCGATTATCCAGGACAGCTGATACGAACGCCTGTTGAAGCTGTGCCGAAGACTGCATAGTGGGGGCGGACGAAAAAGAGGTGTGAGGAACCACATTACCTGTCGCCACCCAATAAGGATAAACCAGCGATTTTGTCATTGCAATAGTTGAGACACCCCATACAACATGCATTAAAGCTGCTACTACGATCACATGACCCTCCCATCCCCAATAAAGCATTGATAACAAATATCGAATCGATGATGATGAAATAGAATTGCGAGAACGTCAGGGAATAATAATGCATTAGAATGTAAAAGAAAGAAGAAAGCAACTAGATATCGAGAGTCACCCTTGCATGAGCACCAATGCTATCAATAGCGCGTACGAATGCTTTGCCACCGAGAGATTTTTGTGAATCGAGATTGTAGAATGGATTACATACTTGCGAGAGATACGCTGCATGGACCTTTTTAAAGATCTAAAACAAGCCCAAAATGAGTTTCCGATGACATGCAGGAAAGCAGAGAGCCTACTTACCGCCTTCATCTCGGCATCTCGAATGATGCCATCCGTCACTGATACCACCACAATAAACTTAACACGCGTATTTGTAATGTATCCATACCTTAAACCCCCATGTCAGTGCTCCATCATTCCGAGATAACTCATACAACCTACACTGCTAAATCCTCCATCGCGTATAAAAGTCCAAGATATGAGTCCAAGTTCTTGGGTCCACTGGCAACTAGCAGCATCCTATTAGACCAATACATGTATATAAAGTTCCTTGCTTATCATACCGCGTTCTTCGATAACATCAATAGACGTGTGTGCAATGTAGTGGTATTTCAGGTCGGGATGGGTGTTACTGAAGTTCTTGATGTAAAGGGGGTTGTTCTAAAGGGAATACCCGAGCGTGTAAGAGAGAGAGAGTGTATGTATGTGAGAATGCAAAAGTCCATCGTTACCTGTTTGCCAATCAGGGCAATGCAGTTGATCTCGCTGCTCATTGGGATTACGTCGTTTCAAGTATAAAGGGCGGAGGTGGTGGACAAAGGCATAGTTTAGTTTAGAGTCCTTCCAGCTTTGTATCCTTCCCTCTTTCCCTCTTCCTCTCACACACACGCACGCACACGCACACACACACACACACACACCCGCATTGCCTTTCTTTTTCTCCCTTTCTTTCTTCACTTTGACTCTATAATGGACGTGGACGCCTGCATCGAGTCCATCAAGGCGTGCAAATACCTCGCCGAGAATGACATGCGCCAGTTATGCAACAAGGCAGGTTCACTTAGTGATATACATACAACTTCTTTCTCGATCGTCCAGCCCGCTGAATGACGCTCCCCTTTTTTCTTAACGCAGCTCAAAGAAATACTTGCTGAAGAGTCTACCGTGGTCCCTGTTCGAGCTCCAGTAACATTATGTGGTGATATCCATGGCCAGTTTTATGATCTTTTGAAGCTCTTTGAAGTGGGAGGCGACCTACCAGAAACTTCATATATATTCATGGTAATACAAGGTCGCGTGCGTGACATGGAGTGATTGGCATTATCATTATCATCATTCGAACAAGTACTGACGTGGATGTTATTTATATAGGGTGACTTTGTCGATCGAGGACGCTATTCATTGGAAACCTTGACATTGCTACTTTTACTCAAAGTGAAGTAAGGATGAAACATCAAAGGAGGAGTTTATCAAGTTCAAATCCAAAATGCTGATGATGCTTTTGAAAAAAGATATCCGGATCGCATCACATTGACACGAGGAAACCATGAGAGTCGTAATGTGACACGCGTATATGGCTTCTATGGTAAGTTGACTACTAGGATACAGGTATAGTGACTGAACCTATCTTTAGATGAGTGCCTTGCAAAGTATCAGAGCTCCAAGGTTTGGGAATGGTGTTGCACAGTATTTGATTACCTACCTTTGGCTGCTGTAAGTGCGAGTGATCATCAGGTGATGCAATATGGAAATTGACTTGGCATGTAGTTGGTGGATGGCAACATCTTTTGTGTCCATGGTGGTCTTTCACCCGAGTTACCTTCAATCGATTCGATCCGGTAAGAATGGCATGATCCCACTATTTGATCCAAGGACTAAAGCGTTGTTGTTGTATAGCACACTATTCCGAATGCAAGAACTCCCCCAAACAGGTGGAACGTGTGGTAAGCAAAGATGAATGAAGGGAGGTGACCGGATAAGGAATTCACGTGTGTGTGATCATGTAGATCTATTATGGTCAGATCCGGAAGCTCAAGTAGATTCGTGGGCTATTAGTCCTAGAGGCGGCGGTTTCTTATTTGGTCACTTGCCTACCAATGCTGTAAGTTTGATATGCCGGTGATATGCATGTACATACGTGAGCTGAATGAGAAAGGGTAGTTTTGTCACAACAACGATGTCAGCTTGATTGTGAGGAGTCATCAACTGGTGGATGAAGGTTACAACTATCCTTTTGCAGACAAGAATCTAGTGACACTTTGGTCGGCACCCAATTACTGTTATCGCTGTGGCAACAAAGCATCCATTCTCAAGGTGCCGGATGATCGAGATACTATTGTAGAAAGCGATTATCGGATATTCTTGGAAAACGACATTCAATCCTTTGACAATGATGCGGTACCGACTGGACCAGGAAGCCAATACTTTTTGTAACCAACAACAACCACCCTCTCAACCTTTTGTTATGTCGCCAACCCCCATCTATATTACCAAAGACAACCTTTTATATACAAACTATCCCCACCCCACCAGCTCTTCTCATAGCCAATAAAGATATTCCAATTGAGCAAGCGTTGACCACATTGTGTCTCGTTTTCATTCAAAATAAGATAAAAGGTAAACGAAAAAGAATATTAAAAGATTCGGTAGAGTACAGCGTGCTGGGATGTTGCTATGTGCGATGTTGTTGTGCGTGTGATGTGTGTGTGTGTGCGTGCGTTTGTGTGTGAGAGCGTGTGTGTGTGTGCGTGTGATGATAAGAGAAATGTAATCCATCTACAAGAGAAGACACTTCTTTGACTTTTTCTTGATGGGTGGCTCTAGCGCGGCGACAATGGCTTCATCGAAAACATTCTTCAATCCCTTTTGCGTCAAAGCAGAGCACTCAACGTATTTGACAGCACCCAATTCTCGTGCCAATCGTTCACCTGCGTCGAAGCTGATTGGTCGTTGTTTTTGCCGAGCAAGTTTTTCTGCCACATTGGGATCATCGCGTAGATCAACTTGTGTGCCGACAATCAAACAAGGGACACCGGGACAATGATGATGGACTTCAGGGAACCATTTCTCTTTGACGTTTTCAAATGATGCTGGAGATGTGACCGAGAAGCACACGAGAAAGACATCCGTTTGTGGATAAGAAAGGGGTCTCAATCGATCATAATCCTCTTGACCTAATCACCATAATCCCGTTGTTAGAGCTTTCCATGCCAAGTAAATCATCCCTTTGTCGTACCTGCTGTATCGAAAAGACCAAGCGTATATGGCTCATCGCCTATATTTTGAAATGTGAGTTCCTATTATCCATGATGCCTTGTTGTAGTATACTCACCGATCATCACAGTAACTGCATAGTTATCAAAGACCTAATGGTGACATGGATTATTAGATGAATGAATATACAGCATAGAGTTGACCCTATTCTACTTACAGTAGGAACGTATTCGGAAGGAAATTTGTTGGTGGTATATGATATCAAAAGACAAGTCTAGACAAACAATGATCCGATGCCGTTAGTTTCAAGCGCTCTCTCTCTCTCTCTCTCCTTTACAACCAAAAGAACCAGCAGCGTTTCACATACTTTACCGACGGCACCATCGCCGACCACGACACACTTTATCGTTTGCATTCAGGTCCTACAAAGCAGCCATTGAGATGAGTGCGTATAGCCAATCACAGTAAAAGTCCCAATCGTACCAAAAGTTAGCTGAGTATTGGAAAGGGAAGAAAAAGAGAAGTATCGGTTGTTAGGAAGGAAAAAGGAGCAGCTCGTGGAGAATGGGATTAAAAGCGGGCCTTAAACGAGACTCGCACCATCTGCAAGGAAACAGCTATCCCATCACTACTCTTGAACATGTGAAAAGGAGACTTCAGCATCATCATCATCATCATCACCAACCAGACATGTAAACAAACGATCACAAGCTGAATGGCCATGTTCATTGTATCATCACATTAAAGGAAATGACAAAGAATAGAAACGACATGAATGTACATTATGCACCTCCCCCCCACACACAAAATAATGCAAGCATGATAAACAATAAAAGGGTCATCTCGTGTATAGAGTATAATTGATACGTGATACAAGATCATTCGGTATATAAAAAATCCGATTGTGCTATTCAATATCGCTTCTTGAAAGTAAGCATGAGCTCCTTGGGCTTTACAAGACCAGTGCCAACAGTCTGAATCTTGTCTTTGTGGATCGAATCCTTGGGTAGCTCCCATTCGTATTTTCTTACTTTATGATCCCAAAATAAAAAAGGCTATGTCAGCTATTGTGTTGTTGAACCACCCTATCTATCACCTTTGTTTGACACTTACACAGCATGGGCAAGAACACTCGCTGCTCTGCCAAGGAGAAATTCATGCCTATGGTAGTGCATTGCAATTCATCAACAATGCCCATCCTTCTTCAATTCCTTTTTGTATCAAATACCTATGCATTGTCTTTGTCCGTTGGAGAAGGGAATCCACGACATGCCCGATCCTGCAAGTTCTTCTGCTTCACCACCAGGTTCGAATCTCTCGGGCCTGAATGTCTCAGGATCCTTCCACACAGTGGGATTGTGTTGCAGCTCGTAAATGTCAACGGTCGTTTTTGTTCCTTTTGGGATAAATTGGCCTTCCAATTCAGTGTCTTGGGTCGTTTCACGTGATACAATGGCGGCTACTGGAGGAGTGATACGTAATGTCTACGCATGTACACTATTTGTTAGCATGGGCAAATGACTCTCGTTATCATCATCGTACATACCTCCTTGATGATCATGTTAATGTATGGGAATTCACGCGTTTGTTCAAGTGTGGGGAAAACATCTTGTGGTTCATCGCCCAATACTTTGATTGCTTCTTCTCGTGCTTTACGTTGCATATCCTTCACAAGAGCAATGTGTGTATCAGCGCATGGATGTTCATTGTACGCATGTTTTGTATGATACTCACGGGATTTTTGGCCAAGTGGTATACAGCATAGGCTAAAGCATTTGCAGTGGTGTCGTGGCCAGCAAGGAAAAAGAGACACAAGTTGTTCTGTGTGAGAGCAAAATGAGTAATCAAGGTTGCACACCATGTTGCATAGCAACGATCCTTACTCTTAGCTCCTCGTTTGTCATGGCACCTTCGCCGCTATTCTCTGCTTCAATCATAAGAGTAAGAAGATCGCGTTCAGATTCGGGTACTTTGGATTGCTGGTCCTTGAGGACTTGGCGCTTGTGAGCAATGACTTCATCCATCATGCCAAGGAAGATATCCAATTCACGATGCATTCTCTTCCGACCTGGGAAAAGGAACAGGTACTTCATATCCAGGTTGTAAAATATAACAAACCAAGGGTTGAGTGTTGCTTCCATGATGTCACGATAACGGACCACCCATTCCGACTTTGGATCCTCAATGGCATGGAAGTCAAAGTCTATCTCCTTTTTGTTAATGTTACCCTTCATTGTATGCTGGTGAAGTCCATCATTTACCAAATCCAGCTAATCCAATAACGTCAAGAGCAAAGCGTTCAGTCATTTGATGGAAATTGATAGTCTCGCTTTCAGCACGATCCATGACATTGATTGTCTTTTGAGCTAATTTTGCAAACAACTCCACAGGCATGGATCGATGAAATGCAGGGTTGGCAACCTAAACATGTCACAAAATGAGCAATCATCATCATCGCTATACTCATCGGCATATCTCATTCCCGAAGCTTACTTTGCGCTGTGCTTTCCATTCATGCCCATTAAGCATTAGGATGTTTCGCTGGAAAAGAAATTTTCCAAAGAGGGTGGTGCCTCTTACTCCCCCAATATCTGCCTTGGCAAATATGTCTGTATTCCAACAGGGATCAAAAAGTGCACTTTGATAATGCAGCTCCTCAATCGCCTATGCATTCCACATACCTGTTTTGAGCAAAAACTTTTTTGCTGACTCTGGACGTGTGATATGAACACTCCACCCATTTTGGTCAAAACGCTAAAACAGCGCATTAGCATGTGAATAACTCTCATCAACACGTTCACGACCCCTTACTGTATAGAGACCGCTGGAAGATTTCATGGCGGCTGGTAATGTAACATTCGAAGAGATATCACTCATCAATTTACGTCGCATGAATGCATTCAAGAACGTGAAAAGGCCAACATAGGGTAGATGTCGAAGACGAGCTGGTGGTGTCACAGCTTTACGAGCCAAATAGAGAACCACCAACGAGACAGCTGCAGCAATCGAAATCTTTTGTTGTCGACCGAGAGGACCTTTTAATACAAGTTGCGTTGATAAATCGCTGTACAAGTTCACTAAGCGTTCCATATTTGCAGTGGTAGGAGAATGAGAAAACCCCAGCGTGGATCAAAAGGGAGGTTTATATAACTTGATTTGCGGAGTTTTAGTCAAGCTTGCAACCTCATGGCACCCCATATTCTTTGGGCGTATAGGTGTCCCAATGTCGCATACGCGCTCATGACAAGGCCATTGTTGGCGGGACTTCACTAGCCACTAAATACAGCATTATACACCCAAAAAAAGGTGGCTCATCAAATGCGTATTCCTGGATAATGCTGGTTTTCGGGGTACGGGTGTTTACAAATACCGAGGTTCCGAGGGGCTCGTACATCCACCGAGAGTTGTACATAGGCTGCCTATGCATATGGTTGGTACAATGAGGAAGTATATACGTGGATCACAAAAAAACAATCACACTTGCATTTTCATTGTCTGCCATCACACGTACATCAACGAACAACAGCTATTCACACACACCCATAATGATGAGCGTTACACAGTTTCACCAAATGCATGAACAACAATGAAGGCATGCACGGAGTCGATTAAAAATGGTATTTTGACCATGGGTTATTACATTGTCAATAGATTCTCTCGTGGCGTGGCTAATGCAGATTTCTAAGCGGATATGTAGGTTGCGTGTGTATAATACCTCAACAAGTTGATCCATACGCGTACGAGATGGTAATTGATCCTGCTTCGCATCGAGTACATGAAAAACTTCTTTCCTTGATTACTGCTGGTTGTTGAGAGATTTTAAATGGTGGATGGGCTTATTGGTGACATATTTGGGATATCGAGGAACCACTTTTCTATTATGCCAAGGGTTGATGTGCATGTACTTGAGATTCCTGTATCATCATGTAGCTTGTTGTTGGTCGGCACTATTGGCCCCGTGGCTCCATGGTCATAAACAAAAACAGAACCGAGTACTTTGACACGTGAGGTAAAGAGTGTCGAGACGTCAACAAAGACGCGGTCTCCTATCCGGCTAATCCTTGATTACTCCCCAAGCATGCCTTTTTGTACATGGTCAAACTGCACTGCTCATGCAATAGTCAACATAGCGTGTGTTGCGATGAGATGCCTTGTGTACAACATGGTACATCCAACGATCATTTCACCTTTTGGAAGGTGTAAATAAAGCTAGTGCCATCGGCAAAGGGGCTATACCATCCTCGAGCACAAACTTAAACCAGCCCCTTCAACACCATATTCATCGAGTATAAGCCCACCATCAGATGTATATCACCTACACACCTTTTTTCCCTTTTGGCGTTGTAAATCTAGTATGTGGTTTCCATGACGACAAAATGACCAAATCGGTGTATAAAGACATAAAGATAGCATAGAGACGTATATTCAAAACCATTGCTACTATGATGTAGCTATCAATAGCGCTTCTTGAAAGAGATCAAAAGATCTTTGGGCCTGTTCAACCCGGACAAACCAGCACGACGGATCCCATCTTTATGGATCGAATCCTTAGGTAGACGCCATTCATATTTCCTCACTAAGTAAATAAAAGCATGATGGTCTTAATAACATTGGGCGCGTGATGTTCGCCTTTTTTGCACTTACACAACATGGGCAGGAACACTCGTTGCTCTACCAATGCGAAATTCATGCCTATGGTGCATTTAAAGCCATTGTCAATGTCTTCATCCAAAGCACTCTTCAACCTTTTTTGTGTTGAATACCTATGCACTGTCTTTGTCCGTTGGAAAAGGGAAGCCATGACATGCCCAACCCTGCATGTTTTTCTGCTTCACCACCTGGTTCAAATCTTTCGGGTCTAAACGTCTCAGGATCCTTCGAAATCAAAAGTAAGATTTCAACACCACGCATACTTCAACGTACATACCTTCCACACAGTGGGGTTGTGATGTAGGTTATAGATGTCGATGGTTCCTCTTGTTCCCTTTGGTACAAACGTTCCTGCTATTTCGGTGTCTTCGTGGGTCACGCGCGTTATTACATTGGCAATTGGAGGGCTCATACGTAATGCCTATATGGTAAAGTCAAATAAATGTCATCTCCTGGTGGCAGTTGTTATCGTGGATGAACATCAATACCTCTTTGATAATCATATTAATGTATGGTAATTCACGCGTTTGTTCTAGCGTAGGGAAAACATCATGAGGAGCATCACCCATAACTCGAAGAACCTCTTCTCTGGCTTTGCTTTGGATATCCTTCATGGTTGTGTACTTATATTAGTGACCTCATATCAACATCGGATAATCCTTACCGGGTTGGCAGCTAGATAATATGTTTGAAAGGATATAGCATTAGCGGTGGTATCGTGACCAGCAAAGAAAAAGAGACATAGGTTGTTCTATGATATGTATGCGTTAGAAAAGCACACGATTCGAACAATCAACAAGTGGCTTACTCGAAGCTCATCGTTGGTAATGGTGCCTTCGCCACTTTTCTCTGCTTCCATCATCAATGTAAGAAGGTCACGTTCAGATTCTACAATTTTGGTCTCATGATTATCGAGAGCTTGGCGCTTGTGCACAATGATCTTTTCGATCATGTTAAGCATGATGTCCATTTCATGATGGATTTCCACACGTTTAGGGAAGAGGAATCGGTACTTTTGATCGAGGTTGTAAAAGATTTCAAACCAAGGATTTAAAGTTTCAGTTGCAATACGGTTGTAGCGTGTAACCCATTCCGATTGAGGATCATCAATAGCATGAAAATCGAATCCTTTCCCCCGCTTTTAGATGAGTACTCTTGTTTAGACATGCATCTTTGAACATCTCAGCGTACCAAAGCCAGCTAGCCCAATTACATCCAACGTAAATCTTTCAGCCAAATTGTAGAAATCGATGACGCCGTCACCATCCATTTCAGCCATCATCGCTGTCAAAGACTTTTGACATAGCGTCCCAAATAGCTCAATTGGCATGGATCGATGAAATGCAGGATTGGCTACCTAATTGTAAAGCATGCATAAAACTTGAGTGTCACACCTTCAACACCACAAGCATCCCATTTCGGCTTGTATCGCATTACGTACTTTGCGGTGTGCCTTCCATCCAGCACCATTCATCGTCAAGATATTCCTTCGCAAAGCAAACTTCCCGATAAGAGTGTCTCCTCTTTCGTCACCAATGTCAACTTTGGGGAAGATGCCTGCATACACAAAAGAGGGTACGTTTAAAAATGAGCCGATACGTGATCGTAAAAATGATTGCCACGTGTATCGCTAATCATATTACCTGTCTTGAGCAAAAACGTTTTAGCTGCCTCGGGTCTTGTAATGTGCATGGACCAACCATTTTGATCAAAGCGCTACGTGAAATCGCAACATCATTAGCCCACACACACAATTGGAACTGCATAAACCATATAGCAGCAGAGATGCAAGCCAAGGATCAGTGCATGGACATACTATGTAAACCCCATTCTCAGATTTCATCGCTACCGGCAAAATGACGTTTTTTGCAACATAACTTAAAGACTTGCCGCTTATGAAGGCACCGATGTAAGTGAAAAAGTTGACATGTGGGATATGTCTAAGGCGAGCAGGAGGTTGTGTAGACCGGTATATCATATAAAAGGTGACCAATGCGATAGCCGTAGATATCGTCATCTTTGATTGAGAACGACCAAGAGCATACGTAACGAGCTGACTCGATAGCGATTTGTAAATTTCAACCAAATGTTCCATAGTAAAATGTGCGTAAAGCGAATGAGCTGCAACAAAATGACGTGAGAGACAAGCTTTAAATACATCAATCCTACCTATCGGGCAAGGTTCAGTTCTCATCTCATGCCAGGATTTAGTTCAAAACGTAATCAATCGCAAAAGCAAGGTGCAGTAACAGGTGGACCTAGATCCGCCAAATGACCCCATCAGCTGCATTATATGCCACTATCAATGCAGTGCATAAGGAGACGCTTTTTTTGCATGTGGCGTAAAATAAAAACATGTTGACTCTGGTTCCCAACTCCTGCGGCGACGACATGACTTATCCAACCCCTCAGCTTGCGTACATAGCATTAGCCATTGTGCGATCCATTTAAAGCAGTAAACGATATCATTAAGTGCATTCTCCAACCAAAAAGTAAGATGGTGGTTAACCATTTAAGCATGTCTAAAGAGCTACGCTTTTATCGTCGGGCTGATAGCTATGGAACTTAAAGACTCATTATAGCAATCATGCCGGTTGTAGTAAACCATGACGCCAAATCCACCTTTGCATACATACGCATTTCGAGAGGTAGCTACATCCAAAGCAATACCATATGTATATGAGTACATACGTGCTTCATCAAGCAAGATGATTACGTGTCTTCACTTTAAAAGAAAGAGCCAAACATCACGATGACAATGAAAGTAGGATAACAAAGAATGCTAAAGATCAATCTCGAATATAAGGAGTACATCGATCGCTCACAAAAGAGGGGTTTCGCCATGGTACTCGCATCGACTTGCACTTTGAAGGTGTCAGCGATCGAAAAGTGGCATGCTGTTTGAAAGAGGTATGGTGTGGGGCGATGACATTCTTTGCTTATATCTGCATGTTGGTGGGCGTGTGAATTTCTGTGATCACAAAGAACAATAAATGTTTGTTGATGAGATTGATGAATCGCCTGCACCAATGATTTATCTGTAGGGCTCCTAGATGTGATGATTCTCATGCATAAAATCAAGGTGACAATGCATCCATCATCAAACAACGACACCCATTTGCTATCACAAACCACTTGCTGCTGCTGCTGTGCTCATACCTACATGTACATTACAAAAGAGACCACTTGCCGTTGTCATTTTACCCTTTACGGTGGTGGTATGCGTATTCAAGTAGAATACGTGGGCAATTAAAACCTACCTTGTATCGTTGGCAACATGGTGGATCGCATGGTCTCAAATAAAACAAGGTGCAGGTAGTAAGCAGACTACTACGTAGCTATAGCTACGACGCTTTACTCTTACAGCTAAGACTTTACCCTTACTGCTACGACTTCTCCCTTACAGCTACGACTTTTTACTCTTACAGCTACGGCTTCCCCCTTACAGCTACGACTTTTACCCTTACAACTACGACTTTGCCCTTACAGCTACGACGTTTTACCCTTACAGCTACAACATTTACATCCTCAGCCTTTGACATTGATTACACAAAGTGAACTTTGTATCACTCGCCATTACCATTCCCAACATCATCTTACACTCTATCCCCTTTTTCAATTGCTTACAGCCATGACTTTTTTCGGCACACCCATTGCACACAACTTTCTACAATCAACCACGGAAAGTGTTCACGTGCAAGATATGGGACCATGCTTGTGGTACATGACGTCTATTTGTGCCAATGTTTAACATTCGAGAGGCACCAGGCGATCGGAACCAGAAGCATGAATCATTCCCGGATGAGTTTTTTTTTGAGTCATGGTCCAAGGTGACACAATAGCCATCCGTATGTCGTTTTCTTTCGCATACTATACTCCTTGCAAATCACAAAATCATTCTCTCTCCTTGATATTGCATTTAGAATCGAAATGCTGGATCAAATTGCACGCACTTTTATAAACCATGGCCGACACCGAACGACCTCCCTTTCGGTAGCTGCATTGTTGGCAGCCTTTGCTACTATATATGCTATCTACAAACGCACAAAGTTGCCACCACGTGCGTTACGACACCTACCGCAGGTGTCATCTTTTCAATTGGCCAAGGCACAAATGCAACTCAAGTCCATAAGGGAGATTGCCTTTACAACAACGTTGCCAGCTGCGAATGAGACTGAGTATGGCGTATACCTTGTGGTGAGTCTCAAATCATACTTCTGTATGCGTGTGCAACATGCACATTATAGAATCATTATTGATCTTGTGTCCTTAGAAGACGCATAGGAGATGGGTGTTGCATATTGCTCGTCCCGAGCTAATCGAGGAATTCATGTCTAAAATAGGTAAAGCGGCGAAAGCAAAGTTGCATTGTTTGTAATTACAAGGTGTAAAGCTCACTCATCAAACAACAAGATGGATTTGCTAAATTACAAGCGGTGATCAACCCCAAGACGTTGCTTGGTCGCTTTATTGGTGGCCGTAATCTTCTTACTTTAGACGGCAATGAATGGATTGAACAACACAAGGTATTAATTAATACTACGGCGGATCTCTTGTATGTAGCTGATAATGAGACCTTGATGACAAAAACAAAACTTGGATAACATAGATCATGAAAGCTGCATTCGACTTGGCCAGTCCCCTTGGATCATTTGATGCCGTTGGTCAAAAACTGATAACAAGAATAGATGACATGGACAACGGCAGTGTAAATTGGCAGCGATTGGCAAACCATTGGGCGTTGGATCTTTTAGGAAAAACAATCTTTGGTATGTAAGAGAAGACTGCTATGGACAAAATTGAAGCATTTCCTTATCCACTTGCTAATCACAAACTCACCCACAGACTTTGATTTTGGAGCAATCGATGGCACTGAAAGCCAATGGTCAACGCGATATCGCAGCATCTTCCAAGCATGTTTTCATCCTCTGTACCTAACGCTGCCTATGTTGGATACGTGGTTCCTTCCATCCAAACGGCGTCACATGCATCAAGAATTGACAACCTTGCTTGGTATCATGGATGATAGAATTAAGCAAGCTTCAAATCCCCCTAATGGAAATGAGTCCTTGACCGAAAAGAATCTTCTGACGCTTATATTGGAGGCACAAGAAGAGCACTCTGGAAATATGAATGACGAGGGCATTAGGGTACGTTTTTATTCACTAGATCCTGTGCTCATTTGTTCATCCAGCTAACAGCTTGTGAACGCATGATACATAGAGCAATTTATGCGCGTTCTTCATGGTGGGACACAGAGCTCTCGCGTATACGCTTGCATTGGCTGTTTATCACATTGCTGTCAACCAAGTATGTATTTTAAGCAGCTGGAGAACCCGCTCACTCAAAGGTCTTATCATATAGGATGTTCAACAAAAAGCAAGAGAGGAAGTAATTGCCATAATGGGACCTGGTGGTTACAACAGGGATGATATGCCGACCTTGGCTCAATTTTCGGAGATGCCATACATGGAGTATGTGATCAAAGAGGTAAACCAAAACGCGTATTACAGGTCAAACGTGCATGTTTTTAATATCGCTTAGACAATGCGTATGCATCCTCCAACGCCCGTATTGCATGGTCGCATGGCAACAGAGGATGTCAGCTTGGGGAACTTGCTGATCCCCAAAGGAGCCCAAGTTTCACTGGATATTTACGAGCTACATCATAACCCTATCGTTTGGAAGAACCCTGAGACCTTTGACCCATTGCGTTTTGCACCCCGTGGGGAAGTAGATCAGTTGCACTCTCAGGGCAAGTTGCCATGGATACCATTCAATCACCACCCGCGTCAATGTATCGGCAAAGATTTCAGCCTTAGGGCACTAACAATGACACTTGCAATGTTAGGTATGAATACGAGGACGAGGAATGGTTTTGTACGTGCCGTATTTTGGATGCTAAATCACATTCTTTATTCATCCAGTGCAATGCTTCGACATTTCACTCCCTAATGATTCTCCACACAAGGATAGGATTGACACAATTGGGTATACAGGAATCAGCCCCACAGAGCTGATGATCAATTTCACAAAGCGACATGAGGCCCATTGTTGAAAGACGCACAATTTGATTGTAAGGGTCATGAACACGCTTGCATAAAAGCTCTCACTCTCGCGTCACGCAATTGGAAATGCACGACTATGAGCTTATTATGGTACAATAAACAATGACACCATACATTGGTAGCATTTTGATCCATCAACACCATTGGGTGGGCAAGTGTAAAATTGGGTTGTGTTGTAAGGAGTTAGCTGACAAATGACGGGAGAAAGTGGGGAGTGATCGAGAACAAGCAGGATGTTGATAATGGAATCGATAATCCCGAATCACCCTGTGATGTGCATTTGTTCCTTATCGCTTTTTTTGATGGATCGGATCCAAACATGTGAAAACGGCGGAAGAAGACGGTTCGGAGTTTTTAAGGCAGCGGATGCCACGCATGGGTAATACGAATTTACAATTCCCCTTGAGGACAAAGCCGAGCTTTATTACAGTTTCTGTTTTTGCGAGAACCTGTGGGATAGGTAAGATGTGTGTATATATCAAAGCGGGATGAATTGGAAAATAAATGTAACAAAGAGGATTGTGCGGATATGATGAGATGGATTGTTATGGTGTGCAATGGAAATTGAAAAGAGTTAGAGTGGGAATGGCATATGACGCAAGACCACACCCTCTTTCTCTAAGATGATATTACTCACGCCGATCGGATGGCAGCCAACTTGTCAGCAATTTGCTGAAGGAATTCTTCGGTGGTCGAGTAGTGCTCACGCTTCATGCTATTTACAAATTGCTTTGTCAGCCTCTGGTATCTCGTACGTATCCGCATGTACCCGCCAAAAGCATTTCACTCCCAATAATGATACTTACTCCTTGCCATAGATGATGAGTGCTAAATCCTTAGTCATGTGCTTGTCGTTCTCAATGACCTCAATGCATGCACGCTCCAAATCGCTGGAGAACTTGGCAAGCTCAGCATTATCATCGAGCTTAGCACGGTGAGCCAAACCACGAGTCCATGCAAAGATAGAAGCAATGGGGTTGGTGGAAGTGGCATTACCCTATTGTATGGTCCATTGTTAACACTTTCCGTTCTTTTCCATGTTATCCCTTTTTAATTACCTTTTGGTGTTCACGGTAATGACGAGTGACAGTGCCGTGAGCAGCTTCAGCCTCAACGGTCTTGCCATCAGGGGTGTAGAGAACAGAGGTCATAAGACCGAGGGAGCCGTAACCCTGAGCAACGATATCGGATTGGACATCACCATCATAGTTCTTACAAGCCCAAACGAAACCACCCTTGGACTTGAGCATTTGAGCAACCATGTCATCAATAAGACGATGCTCATACCAAGTACCAATGGCTTCAAACTTGGCCTTGTATTCGTTGTCATAGATTTCTTGGAAGATGTCCTTGAAGCGACCATCGTATGCCTTAAGAATGGTGTTCTTGGTGCTCAAGTACATGGGCATCTTACGATCAAGAGCAACACGGAAACAAGCATGAGCGAAACCAATGATGGATTCATCAGTGTTATACATTGCCATGGCAACGCCACCATTCTTTTCAAAGTTGTAGACTTCAATCTTGCGAGGTTCGGAGCCATCTTCAGGGGTAAAGAGAAGTTCAAGCTTGCCAGGACCACCAGTGACCAAATCAGTGGCACGGTACTATGAAGATGGTAATGCAAATGAATAAAGCGGGTAAAACGGCAAATTGCACACGCAACATAAAGTTCCTTCATCCTTCCCCAAAATCCACCTATAATACCCCTTTTCATACCTGATCACCAAAAGCATGTCTGCCGACAATGATAGGTTCGGACCAACCTGGCACAAGTTTAGGCAAAGTCTGGAGAACAATAGGCTCACGGAAAACGGTGCCATTGAGAATGTTACGGATGGTACCGTTAGGGGACTTCCACATCTTCTTGAGCTTGAATTCTATTACATTGTGCATGCGTTAATTATTACGTTACGTTGGCATCATGTTATAAATCCCTACCTTCAACACGAGCCTCATCAGGGGTGATGGTGGCACACTTGATACCGACATTGTACTTCTTGATGGCTTCGGCAGCATCAATGGTAACTTGATCGTTGGTCTATAACAGGTGCAACAATGATGCATAATAAGCATGGCGTGTAGGTGTGACATGAGGCATGATGATTGCTTACAGCGTCACGGTTCTCAACGCTAAGATCGTAGTACTTGATGTCAAGATCCAAGTATGGGAAGATGAGCTTTTCCTTGATGAATTGCCAAATGATTCTGGTCATCTCATCGCCATCGAGGTCGACAACGGGGTTCTTGACGTGGATTTTGCCGGCAGCCATTGTTTATGTTTGTAAAATGAAAAGGGTAAAAAAAAGAGTGAGAAAGGAGAAAAGAAAGATGGCACGAAGAAGCGCTTTATATATGTAAATTTAACCAAGTTGGTTGGGGGAGAGAGGACGATGATGACAGAAGCCGTGAGCCAAATGACGGATTGAAATTTGGCGGCAGCCGATGTAAGATGGGCGTCGCAAGGTTTCACCAACTCTAAAGGAAATTTTCTGAGTAACCCCGCATTTCCCGGATGACAAACACGATGATGACCTTTTTCTTTGGCCCCCATCCAAAAGGGTTTCACTTACGCAGGTGCTATAGGAGGCTATACAAATAGCCGCTGACCCTCTCAGACAACGTTATCCTTTCTCATCAAAGTTCTCACGCTGATGCCAATGCCTATACACCGACGGATGAACCCTCCCCTCACTATCTATGTTTTTGGTTACATTTATTGGTGCCCATGTAGTACTAGGTTATCTCGTTGTGTTATCTCGTTTTGTTTTGTGATAGATAGTATGCGTGAAAGTGAACTTGTTAGCACTGTGAAAAAGGGGCCAGAGCAGCGTGTGAGCAAGGGCCGGAATGAACCTGCCTCTAAAGTCAAAGCGAAAAGGTGAAATGAATGGCCACATGCCCCTTGTAGGAGAAAACGAGAGCCTAAAACGAAGCATGGCAGTAAAAGACATGTGATGCCAGCAGCGTGTGTGAGAGTATAATCAAAGTACCTCTCCCTTTTGTAAACAAACAAAGCCAATGATTAGATGAGAGGGTTGATAAATGTGTGGAGAAATGTGTGATGATCAACATATTGATAATGGTTCATTGTCGTTTCTTTTCCAGTTTAGGACAAAGACCCATGTCATTCACATTTCAAACGTTTGATAATGTCATTATCTGCATTACCATTATCCCTTTTAGAAACAGCATGTCTATAAACAAAGCGTCAACCATTACACGGTTACACCTGCGTCAGTGCATGATGGAAAGCTGAATCTCAGCAACAACACGGCGTCTTTCCGAGGATGGATAGATGGGATGGCCCTCGAACAACCATGTCTAAAGCGGGATGATGTTCACTTATCGGATTCAGGTACAGTGTACAAATTTGGAATGACGTGCTCCCAAGATAATCGCTTATCGGCGATCATCTTTATCTCGCTTTCCTGCCACTTGCCTATGCTACTGGTAGCAAGGATCCCATCTTTTACGTTATAGTGGATGGATGAAGATGCTATTTGGTAGCCCCTGAAACATCGTACAGGCGTAAGCCGGACAATAATACGCAAAGATGATTTTCCCCCAACCACTGGGATCGCTTTGTTAATAATGGGTTTTACCGCTCCGGGTTGCTTTTTCGTCCTTCACATGTCTTGACGGACCCCCTGATGGTATATTTGCTTACTTGCATACTTTTGGTTTACATCATGCTATACCGTACAACATTAGCATTGCATATACTCGTTACAATAAAGGCGGCTCATCTTACCTTTGGCGGTAACCATAGCAAATCAGCATACGCATACCACTATATGAACTCCTCCTCGATGTAATATATGCATGCACGGACACCTGAATATCAAACGTTTACCCTCCTGCTTTTATGACCTGATCATCATGTACAGCAATGCAGGCTCCTTGCTTCTTGTATCAAGTATACAAAGGATAACCGTAACCAATCCACCCTCAAGCAGTAAAGCAGCTATCGTTATAGACAGCTGGCATTGTGTCGGCATGTTGTCATGGTTACCGCGTATCCCAGTACCACGCGTCTACTAGGAAAATGCACTCGACAGGCAAGTGGATCATGCGGCAAACGATTGTAGTTGTCACCCTTAGCAACATGTTTTCATCCTCCGCATCCCTTTCTTTACAATCATCTTCCCACATAGCATACACAATGAGGAAGTAGTTTTATTTTATGGTCAATGTTTTGAATGTAGGGGCATGATGGCTTAAGCTAAGGTATTCCGGTGCATGATTGGATTCATTGTTAGCAAAATGCAGGTTCCATCAACCATAATTTTATTGTACTATCATGTAAGGAGAACAACCAAGGGAATTGCCGCTGAACATTTGGCCCATCAAATACCATCTAACAAACCTGAAGAGCACATGAGCATGTCTTTGCTGTAGCTGGGAGATAAGGATGCACTGGTATCAATTTGCATGATTCCTTCAGCAAGTGACTATTTTTCCCGCTTGCCAACTTGAGATAAAATTTGACTTGTTCCACCTTCTCGTCTCTCGATCGTATCCAATCCATCACCATGGCCGACAATGTGCAGTACTACCTCGAGCAAATGGTCCCGGAGCTCGAGGACCTTGAGAAGAAGGGTCTCTTTAGCAAGGTAACTAGCACACGATCTCGGCATGCGACCACATTCACCTTGACTCACAGTTGAGATCTAGCCCGAGATCAAATCGATCATAAAGAAACGCACCAAACTGGAGTACGCTATTCGACGCCGCATTCCCAAGAAGATCGACTTTCTACGATACATTGAGTATGAAATGAACGTTGAGGCGTTACGTAAAAAGCGCAAAGCCCGTATCAATAGTAAGTTGGACACCACTCGAACCATGCTGGGATACAAGGGTAATTGACAATACGATCATTACAGCTAAGAGAGGCGACGACGAGGAGTTCGGCATCTCTGAATTCTCCATCAAGCAACGTATCAACGCCCTCTTTCAACGTGCATTGATGAAGTTTAAGGGTGATCTGGCACTTTGGTTGGAATACATTGAGCACGTCAAGAGCACCAAGGCCAACAATCTACTCAGCGGCATCTTTGTAAAGTAAGTGGATGTCAATGTGTGTGGAAGGAATACAATGGGATCATGGTGGTTTACAAGTCATCTATCCAGTGCATTGCAGATTCATCCTACCAAAGCTTTATTGTGGATCATGGCTTCTTCATGGGAGTTCGAGCACAATGCCAATCCTGCATCTGCACGAGGTATGTATATACGGATCTCAATGGGAAGGATGTGAGATCTAATATAATGGATCTAGTGCTTATGCAGAGAGGTCTTCGATTGAACCCAACGGACGAGTTGTTATGGCACGAGTATTTCCGCTTGGAATTGCTATATGTTGAAAAGATCAAGTTGAGACGACGTGTTCTTGGTGTTGATGACGAATCCTTGGAGAAGCAAAATAATGGCAAAGAGGAAGACAAGATGGATGTTGACTGGAAGGATGATGCGATTAAGCTTCCCACGATCACTGGTGAAGAAGCTGAAGATTGGAAAAACGCCAGCGATGAACGAAAGACGGTGAAGAAGATGGAGGAATCTGCAGCTGAGGCACTCAAGGAGGGCAACAACCCTATTTTGCAAGGTATCTTGGCAACCATTGTGTATGATAATGCTATCCAAGGTGAGTTGTTTGCTATGCATGATTGTTGTGTTACATTGGTGACTAAGAGGTCGTACATTAGCAATTCCCAATGATCTTGAATTCAGAACCAAGTTTATCGACATTTATCGCCAATTCACCAATCCTGAAAAGGGATGCGAGCATGTTGTGGAGACGATTCAACGGGATATGGCCGATCAGCCTGATGCGAAGGCGTATCTTGCATCACGACATTTGTTTGTTCAAAAGACTGAGGAAGATGGCACATCAAAGTATATCGCATGCAGCGACCCAGCATTTGTTCCTGCATTGAAGGCATGCGTTGAAGAGTTCAATCAAGCTATTCAGGTAACGATCCCTCTCATTTTTCCTTTTCATCGCTGATCAGTTTATTAACAACATGTATCGTACAGGACTTACCCACTGCCGAGATGCATGAAAGATACATTGATTTCTTGCAGGGATGGATTGATATTACAACTGAAGAGAACATGGTATGTGAAAAGAAGAACTCGGGATGCTTTTGTTGTGAAGCATAGATGTTAACAATGTTCTATTAGCAATTATATCTGCGGAAGGTCCTCCAACGAGTGTTCAAATCAGCACAAAAGAAGAATGTCCTCTCGCCAAAGATTTACCAACTGCACATTGAGAACCTGATGGATAGCGATAAAGAAAAAGGTAAGAACAAAGGAGATGTTAGCGAAAAGGAAGATGGTACTGACTGATGATATATAGCACATCAAGTGGCCATTAATGCCACTGAAGCATACCCACGTTCCGCCGAGCTCTGGATTGTTCGTATTGATTTGGCAAAGGTGGATGAAGGTAAGCACGCCATTTTACTTGTGGAGAGCTAGGATGGTTGACCACCATGTATAGACAAGGCAAAATTGTTCAAGAAAGCGCTGGATCGCTGTCCAGAATCATACAGCTTATGGGATTCTTACAATGACTGGATCAACAAGCAACATGAAGAAGAGGCAATGTCGACTGAAGAAACCGACAAGATGTATACAGTAAGTCAGCTGGTGTTTATTGCAAAGTATGAGGATGGGTAATTGATTAGGAATCACTGTAATAGCGTGCATGTGAATCGGTCACATCCTTGCTGCCATCTTTAACTACATCAACCGAAGAGCGTGATCGCATCAAAGATCTTGTATTATCAGGCTATGTGGATTGGGCACTTCGAACCAGTGGCATCGATGGTGCAAGAACAGCATATCGCAAAATCATTCAAAACTTTTATCCAACTACTGCATTTTACTACACATGTCTTGGCATTGAAAAGGAACACGGCAAAGACGATAGCATTGAATACGTTTATGAGATGGCATTGCGATCCAATGATCGTAAAGAAGGTAAAGAGCAAACATGCAAGGAGAGTAACGTGTAACTTACTTTTATTTTCTTAATCAGAACTCTACCGGGAATACATTACGCATTTGCGAGAACAAAGGAAATTCAAGAAGGCGGATCATGTATTATGGAAAGCATGTAAAGAAGTGCCTGATTTTGACACAAAAGCAACCAATTAAAAATGTACCACGTATTATCTATTGTATACTGTTTATTGCTCTGCTGGTGGTGTTGAAGATGATGAAACTTGAGCTGTAGTGGTAGATTCAGTGCCATTTTGATTCTGTGACCCGTCGTCTTGTGAATGATCTGTCTTTTGCTTTTTCCTTGCTTGCTGTTGTTGTTGCTGCTGTTGTTGATCAACCTGCATATCACTGACAGTATCTTTTCGTCGTTCGAGTGCTGTTTTAAGTGTCATTGTGTGTGGGATAACGTCTTCAAGGAATTCAAACTGCTCAACCTCGCTCACAGCGGATGCTACAGACCCAAAAAAGACACGTTGGTCAATTGATTGTTGCGAGGATTTCATTGTTTCACATACCCAAGTCTTTGTAAAAGATAGTTTTCCTTTTCTCGTTCCGTGCTCGTGTAAATCCTTCTTGTACTAGATACTCCATGAACAGCTCCTATATATCGATCCATATTCACTATTAAACATATACGTATCCAATCGTTCTCGTCGTCATTGACACTTACAGTTGCATAAGTGATGCAAAAAGTGGCTTCAGCGTTAATGATGGAAATGTCCTTGTCTTCTTTAACAACACGCTTCACTCGTGACACGGGGATGATCGTAGTGCCTGGTGTGCGATCGGGTTTTGAGGAGGAAGAAGATTGTGGAGTGGAAGCTTCTGATGCCATTGTGTCGATTGTGTAAAAAAGAGAACAGGGAAAAGCGCGTTCTGGGTAATCCCATTTTTGTGTCGTGATTTCAGCCCGACTTGGCAATGATATGGATTAGCTTGCAAAACCAGACCACTGTACCCACGTCATTAGTGCCATCAGCATAGCAATCAGTCATTATCCGTGCAATATTATGATAGTCACCAAAGAAAACGACTTTGGTACATGTGAATGGATCACTCTTTCATGTACGTAAAACATCCAATCAGACCCCCTTCTCTTCCTCTCCCTTTCCTTTATCACATCATGTACAAGTGGATATACCTTTACAATCCTGCATGTTCCATACCATATAGCTTCATATAATACAATACATCAAGTGCCCATACACACAACGAGGTCCAAAGCAGGAAGAAGGCCTCTTACACGAACAATCTTGAAATAATCGTCCAACGCAAACTCGTATCCGGTAAAACTAACCCTTTAATCCAACATCATTCACAGGGAACAGATTGAGAGGTACAACGAATTGGATCAATTGGGGAGGGAGGAGATACATAGGTATGACATGTTTCTATCCCCTGGGATGTGCACTTTGTAAAGGTGGATGGATAAACGCGAGGTGGAATTTGATGCATGACGCATCGAAACACGTAGATGATGATGATGGTTGTACATGGTTGACAGGTTGCACACAGGATGATGATAATAGCTGCCATGGGGTAACGTGTAAAGTACGGCAATTGGAAGCAACTCGTGCAGGATGATAGCAACAAGATCATGTTGACAATGGCCCCACTCTTTTTCCACGCGTTGTATATACCCAATTCCTTCCATCCCATGTATCCCACCAATATTCAGATCCATATTCATATCCATAGGAAGTTGTATGTATTGAAGTAAGTTGCTACACGTAAATAAAGCTGCTTCTAAACAATGACTATCTGCCGTCCTCGTAACGAAGGCTGTAACGCAAGTTGCTGCAAGTAAAGAACGCTGTTTGAGACAATGCAGTAAACCCCTTGCTAATGGTAGCTGCTGCAAATGAATGCTGTTGCGTTTGGTCGTGGTAGAGGAGTGTACAAGAGAAGGTGTGGTGTCAAAAGATTCGTGTGTTGTAGTGGGATGCACACGCCATGGAGTTGCCATTCAGTCAAAGACAATCGGATCAAGACAATCGGATCAAGGCATTCGTAGCATTGACATGATGGGTTGAAGCACGACAATCGTTCGTAGGTGGTCGTTGTACCTGAATGGGGCAACAGTTGAGAATGGGAGGAAGAGACAAGAAGTGGAGAGTGGAAGAACTGGAAATCAAATTGATTTTTCTGAAGCTTGGATGAGTACTAGTGTTGTTCAATCAATCCCCTCGAATCAAGGAAGTTGAAGGATGAACATGCTGGGCTGGAGCAGAACAATCGTTCACATCCATTGTTTTGGGCAACAAAGGTGAGTGGAAGGAATGGGTTGCTAGCTGGCAGTTTACATATAACTTTGCAAAATGATTTTTCTCATATTGGATGATGCTTCTGCGTTTGAGCGAAACTCGACCAAATCCTCTCGGATCATGAAAGTTGAAAGATGGAGGTGATGGGATGGAGCAGGACAATCGTTCACATGCTTTGGTTTTGGGCAATAAAAGTGATTGGGAGGAATGTACTATTAGCTGGCAGTTTACAAATAACTAATCAATTTGATCTTTCTCATATTGGATGATATTTCTTTGTTTGAGCGTAGCTCAGTCAAATCAACTCGGATCAAGGCAATTGAATCATGGAAATGAACGTCTGGAGTAGGAGAATCGTTCACATGTCATGCAATGGACAACAGTGCCGGTTGTGAGTAAATGGCTGTTAGCTCGCAATATATGGTCTATTGTCAATGGTATACAGTATCATCCTTCCATCCTTCCAGTCATGCAAGGTAGCTGTGTTACACAACACGACCCTCTGCATCTTTGGCTCTGCCAGGGTCCAGCTACTTGACAAAGAATAAAGACCACTCTTCATATAGCATCACGCTTACAAACATAGAGGTGCCTGTATCTCCAAACTTTACAATGAAACGTGGGGTTTTTAATAGTGCAATGGACTCGGCTTGGCCAACAGCACCTTGTGTGAAAGTTTCGCGATCAATGTCGCAACTAGCCCAAAAAATATTTTTTGGTCGTCGTCGTCGAAGAGGTCGACCCCCAGATCCAGTTTGGCTGATAGCGACATTGCGAAATCTGGGATTGGCAAGCTTGATCGTGAAACTGGCACCCAAGGTGCGGTTGACCAAGCCGAGCACATTGCTCTATTCAAAACCCCACGTTTCATTGTAAAGTTCGGAGATACAGGCACCTTTATGTTTGTAAGCGTGATGCTATATGAGAAGTGGTCTTTGTTCATTGTCAAGTAGCTGGATTCTGGCAGAGCAAAAGATGCAGAAGGACCTCTTTGGGTAACTCAGCTAAAAAGTCAGGACTTCAGGGACAATGCATGAAAGGTGCACAACCCTCACTTTATGTCATACATTGGCAGCTAATAGCCACTTTTGTGCATTCCCAACTTTTGTCCATTGCATGACATGTGAACGATTCTCCTACTCCAGACGTTCATTTCCATGATTCAATTGCCTTGATCCGAGTTGATTTGACTGAGCTACGATCAAAGAGAGATTACATCACTCTCCACATACATCATGCTCTATGTTGCTCAACTGATGTAATCGTGTTTGGGCGTAGCTCAGTCAAATCAACTCGGATCAAGGCAATTGAATCATGGAAATGAACGTCTGGAGTAGGAGAATCGTTCCCATGTCATACAATACAAAACAGCGCCGGTTGTGAGGAAATGGCTGTTAGCTCGCAATATATGGTCTATTGTCAATGGTATACGCTATCATCCTTCCATCCTTCCAGTCATGCAAGGTAGCTGAGTTACACAAAAGAGGTCCCTCTGCATCTTTTGCTCTGTCAGGGTCCAGCTACTTCACAATGAACAAAGACCACTTTTCATATAGCCTCACGCTTACACCCTATGTAAAACATAAAGGTGACTGTATCCCTAAACCTTACAATGAAATGCGGGGTCTTTAATAGAACAAAGGTGCTCGGCGGGGTCAACCGGATCTTGTGTACCAGTTTCACGATCGTGGTGGCCAATCACAGATTTGCCAAATGTCGCCACCAGTCAAATTGGATTTGGGTCGACCTCTTGAAATTTTTTTTCGACGACGACAAAAAAATATTTTTTGGCTGGTAGCGACATTTGGCAAATCTGTGATTGGCCACCACGATCGCGAAACTGGTACACAAGATCCAGTTGACCCCGCCGAGCACCTTTGTTCTATTAAAGACCCCTCGTTTGATTGTAAAGTTTAGGGATACAGCCACCTTTATGTTTTACATAGGGTGTAAGCGTGAGGCTATATGAAAAGTGGTCTTTGTTCGTTGTCAATCGGCTCACTTATATCAGAGCTAAAGATGCATAAAGGACTTCTTTATGCAATTAAGCCGAGAGAGCGGGACTTGGGAAGGTCAATCTTATTGGTGGAGAGTGCATAACGGTTCCTGCCCCTATAAGTAAGACCCGCCTTTGATAGCCTGTATGGAAACATGGTATGGTTAACAAGCCAAAAATAATCAGTGCATCTGAGAGTATATGTGTGAAGGGATGAGAGGGGTAATGACATCGTTTATCTCCATGGTTGGTACTCGTATAAGGTTATACATTCAAGATACGAAAGTTGCCGTAAGTATGCATGTGCATGTACTCCTGTCACATTATATCAGAGCCCACTCTTCTTTAAGCATAATGACAAGCTTTCAATGTATGTAACAAGCACTATTTTGGATACCATTACTATGGGTTTATTATCTTTGAAAATACACGCGTCGTCTATTTAACCTGCGTACTATCCTGAGAATGGCCACTCCCTATCGTCTATCAGCATGTGAACAAGGAAGCCTAAAGAATGTGATGTGATGAAAGTAACAAAGGTGTCTCGATGCCATGGCGTAGGTGATCCAATCTCACTCTCCTACCTTCGAATTTGTATCCTCCCTTTCGTTCCGGAAACCAATCAAGTGAACGACATAGAATCAGTGGGTGTCATTGTGTCATTGTATCTTTGGTTGCTGCCGCGATAAACATCCTCACCATTATTGCAAACTAGTTGCTGTGCGTGCCTTGACTCCTATATCCAATATCATCCATGGTGACAAACCTCCTTTCGTCAAAGATGCAAGCCCTCACATCCATGCCACCCAATCCATCATCATCCTCAGCCGCATCCACGTAACATGATCCATCCTTCCTGCAGGCGACATTGCCAAGTAACCAAAGCAGCATTTCAAGATCACCTATCACTGTGCTTGACTGAATCCATCCATCCATCATCCATAGCCAATGCAACCCCAACATGTTAATACAAAGAACCCTTGTGGTCGCTTGCTGACACACTTCCTTTCCATCCGGCTGTTGGTCACTCACTTGCTTGGTATTTTCTATCGCATCTCAACCAGATGAAGAACACTTGTATTGACAGTAGTAGTTGATGGTTGATATGGCATCATCCATAAGGATCCGTTTGTATTGAAGTAAGTTGCTACGCGTACATAAAGCTGCTTCTATACAATGGCTATCTGCTGTTCATATAAAAAAACGCTGCAAGTATGCTGCTGCAAGTAAAGAACGTTGTTGGAGACAATGGAGTCAAGGGCTTGCTAATGGCAACTGCTGGAATGAACGCTGTTACGATTGGTTGTGGCAGAGGAGCGTGGAAGAGAAGGTGTGGTGTCAAAAGATTCGTGTGTTGTAGAAGAGTGACAAGAAGGCTGTCTACACGCCATGGACTTGCCATTCAGTAAAAGACTTTCCAATCAAGACAATCGTAGGGTTGACATGATGAGTTGAAGCAGGACAATCGTTCGTAGCTGGTAGTTGTATACTTGAATGGGGCTAACAGTTGAGAATGGGAGGAAAAGGCAATACGTTGTAGGCGGGAAGAGCTGGAAATTAAGTGGGGTGAGCTGCCAGACACTGTATCAACACTATCAAATTACATCAATCATCGTAGAGATTTCCCATCTCGATCGTGAAAGTTTCACGCAAGATGCTCTTGGACATTATGATAACTTTGTATTAAAAAAGAGCCTATACTTCATTATAAAATTTGGAATGGGAAGGTATAAAGTGGGGTTTGCTATGTAAGTTGGAAACTGCGTCTGCGCCGGATTCCGTGATCTATCGAAACAGTATGTATTACCTTGGGATTCCCCATTTCGCACTTGAAACTTTCACACAAGCTTCGCTGGGACATGCTGATCAACATCATTCAAATAAAAACCATAAGCTTCATAATGAAAATTTTTAATGCGGGGCAATCCAGATGTAGGAGAGGGTGACATAGTAGGTGGACGGCCCGATCGCCGTGGAGGTTGCCAGTCTCGAACTGAAACTTGGTCGGCATACGCTCTCGGGCACGCTGAACAACTTTGTTCTCATAAAGCTCTCACACTTCATTATGAAAATGTTGAACGGAACAGTCCGAATGTAGAAAAAAAAAGGGTATGTATAAGCAGGGTGTATGGCCCGTGACATTGAGATTGCCCCTTACAAACTTGCAACTTGCACACATGAGTCCTTTGACCCCGCTGATCCTCTTTGTTCTCATAAAGACCCCACGCTTCATTATGGCAATTAGAATGGGAGGGTGCACATATAGGAGAGATTAGGCGGGATGGATGGGAACATGAAGCTTATTATAAAGATAGTAGTCTCGTATTGTAACAATGGTTGCAGGTTCCTGTGAAGATGAATACCACAATGTGATTGCGTAATTGTGTTATTGTAAGATTGTTACTCAATAGGTTGCGTAAGCCCTTCAACGAGAAATCAAAAGTTTACGAGTGAAGCGAGCAGCCTGCTGGGACGCTACTAGCTATCGGCGATAAATGTATTGGGTGTCGTGTCCCATTGTTATCAAAACATGTGTAACCTGATCCGCTCCGTGAAAAGAAAACGCGAGAAAAAAAGCGGGGATAATCAAGGCGGAAGGTAGAAGGTATATTCAGCTCATCATCATGAATCATGATGATGATGCTGTTGCCTGCTTTTGCATCGTTGTCTACTTAAGACTATACCAGCAGAGATACAATCCACTTGAAAGTGCACACTCAATGCGTTAAAGTAGATGTTTATTCATTCATCCAACAATGAGTTGAAAACAATGACAATTTGACTATGATCGTGGTTGCACCGCTTGCCGCAGCATGATCCATGACTTGTATGTGTCGCATGAAATCCCCGTCGCTCCGCGCTAGTAGTAGGCCGTACCAGACATTTTTGCTGCGGCAGTGGTAGTATAAAGACACAAGTTCCCACCTCATTTTGTTTGTTGTCACTCTCAATTGAACAACTTTTTGCTCTCCTCCTTCTTATTCACAATGTCCAATCTTCCTACTGGTAATTACGTTGAAGCTGTACGATCGTCGTGCCGTGCTCTTGTCGATCAAAGCCCGGTCAAGGTAAGTTCATTGACATGCATAAAAGTGGGCAAGCGATTTGACGCGTGATCCTTTAGGTGTCCTCTTCTGGTGTCGACCAATTCTTGGAGAAGCTTGACAAGGCCCAATATGAAGAACTATGCATTGATACACCTATGCGATTGCCTCTCAAGTTTGAGAGCATCTCTGAGGAGCTCAACTTGATTGCTTTGATTGATTTGCTCAACTTTGGCAGTGGTTATCGAGTACCATTGAAGCAGTATACCGGTCGAGGGTAAGTAGATACATACATACATATACACACTTGTCATAGCATGAATTATTCATTGACATGTCATATTATAGTGCATTTGACACGATCCGCTTTGGTGTTATGGGATTCCACATTGGTGGCGTTGATATGGATGCAAAGACCTTCAAGGAGATGAACATTCTTCGTGTATCCGAGCTATTCGATATGCCTGTCACTCGTGAAGTCAAGGCGCCCAATCTCGACTTTGTTACCATGACTGAGCCTAATGAACTTCGACCCTTGGCAGAAGGCATTGTATCCGTGCTCAATAGCACTGGCGAGTTTTTGGCCAACAACAACTATAAGGATTTGGCATCTTTCATCCTCGACATTACCAAGCCCAAGACGACAGCAGCTGCTGTAGTGGAGAAATTGGTCAAGGCATTGCCTGGATTTCAAGATGTTTACAGCATCAACGACCAACCGGTGTATGTGCTCAAGAAGGCCCAATTGCTTGTTTATCATTTATGGTTTGTCTTCCGTGATCAAGATCCTGAACGATTCGACTTCCCCGATATCCACGAGTTGACCATGTTTGCCGATAATGTGATTCCCACGTTGTTGATCCATATGGGTGTGATCGAGATTCCTGATGTATGGAAGCAAGAGATGAAAGAAGGCAAGGATGTGGGTATGGAACGTGCCACCATCATGCGTGCTGCATCCCTTGTTGCTGGCGAAGAGATCACCAAAAAGTCAAATGGTCTCATCAAGAGCGAAGGTGATTTGGATGTCTACTTGTGGCGTCTTGGCAAGGTTGGTGACTATCGCAAGATTGAACGTATGGCCTGGAGAGATACCGTCATGTTTTGAAGTCATTGTCATCATCATGCAACGATTGTAGTGTAATATTAGAAATCTTTCCCCTCCCCCTATTTTTCTTTGTACTACCAGTCATGCGTCATGCTTATGTATGTGTGTATGTGTGTGTGTGTATTTGTGTATAAATTTGGGGACGAAACGATCCCAACCAATTCAACTGTTTTTCACCCCTCTCTTTTCCCTTTTTTTCAAATGTTGTTTCAGGGTGCTGTGCGCTCAACTTCTCGACTCACTCTTCCACGAGCATTAGGCTTGACCACAAGTCGCCGTTTTGGTACTTCTTCAGCTGTCTCCTTTCAAAGGTCCTCTCTCATACTCAATAACGAGGATAACAAGAAGGAAGCTGACAAGAACAAGTGGCAGCAACAAACCATCGCCAATGAATTCATCGAGGCTGTACTTTATGGATCCAAAAAGACAAAGGAAGAGGATAATATGACCCACTCAAAGACACTTGCCCGTGGCAAATACGTGCATGAGTTGCAAAGTACGTTACGATAAACCCCGATGACGTGGCCTAAGCTGTATGCAATCATACTAACTCTTTATAAAGAGCACAAGGTCAAGCCTGACAAGGTCCAAGAATACATTCAGCTTGTGTAAGTTACATGTGTGGGAATGATGGGATGATGATAAAGGTGCACCTATTAACATTTGGATAGCACGACGTATCTACCCCAGATCGCCAATGAACCACTCAATGAACTCCATCTTTGTGGTAGTTGGGAAGTTGTTATCGGTGAACTCGACACGTTTGGTATGTCTTGTATGCGCGTGTGTGTGGGAATAGAAGATGATAGTGCTGTTGCTGGGCTTGTCTTTTGACTCACATACAAACGCGTTGCGCCACTACTACGCCCTTTATAGTGCATATTTGGGAATACAAAGGCTACCCTGGTCACCACAATACACAAGCACGTCTTGCTCAAGATCCGGTATGTATGATAAGACTCTGGCATGTTTCACCAGGAAGACCTTTATTTTCTCATACGCATTTCTCATGCAGGTGTATCAAGAGTTTCTAAAACAGCTCCGCCCATTGCTTGTATCGCGTGAGAATAATGTCATGCTTGAGTTTTCCTTTTGGCAAACTTCACCTCCTATGGTCACGGATGGTATCTACGAGTTGCGTAAATACAGCCTCAAGGTAACGAAGCTTACAAAATCAAAAAGTCCTTATCTAATCTCACACGCGTTTACATCATTTGTCATACATCTATCTATCCATCGGCATTATACTTAGCCTGGTCGATTGCTCGAATGGGAAACTGAGTGGTAAGTGCGCGGTGGGTAAAAAAGTCGTGTTGGCTACGTCATGCTGATCCTCCTCCACGATACGTCGTCATAGGCGAAAAGGTCTCGAATGCCGACGCCAATTTTGTGAACCCGTTGGTGCATGGTTCAGCCAACTAGGACAATTACATACGACCTATCACATGTGGACCTACCCGTAAGTAGTCTTTTGGAAAAAGAAACATGTACATTTTCTAACATGGCAACATACAACTAGTGATTTGCAAACACGCAAGACGACTCGTGAAGATGCTTGGAATGTGGATGGATGGGCAGAAACGGTTTATAAAACAGGTAACATGGGAAATGGTGTATACGTTGTCATGTTGTTACTAAACATCCCTTTCTCTATAGTTCGCTTGGTTGACCACATGTCATCTTATATTCTCAGACCTCTTAGTCACAGTCCTTTACGATAAATATGGATACAATTTATTTTCTACTTCAAGTAAATTTCGTAAAACAAAGCGATGAATTGGTGCCTCCGAAACCAAAGCTGTTGGTCAATGCTGCACGGATATTGTTGTGTTCTTGTGCCACGCGTGGAACATAGTTGAGGTTAAACTCCTCATCCGTTCGATGCAGGTTGAGTGTGGGAGGGAGTACATTCTTAAGAAAAGGTGAGAGTGTGTGAGATACGTGAGCCTATCCAAGTGCCATCACCAAAAGGGGGTACTTACATTGTGAAGAGCGAGGATGGCAAAAATAGCTTCTACTGATCCGGCAGCACCCAACAAATGGCCCGTTGCACCTTTAGTAGATGACACATTGATCTTATCCCAGTGTCCATCAAACACGGTCTTGATAGCTTGGTTTTCAGCAGCATCACCTATTGATTTGGGTATAAGAGGGAGAGTTCAATAAAAGGATTGGGAGGATTAATAGAGAGAGAGAAAGAAAACTTACCAACAGGGGTACTTGTTGCATGAGCATTGACATAATCAACTTGATCTGGAGTTAATTTGGCAGCTGCCAATGCACGTCTCATGGATCGAATGGCGCCAGCACCATCTGCAGGGGAAGCTGTCATGTGATGTGCGTCGCCCGATAAGCCATAGCCTGCCACTTCTGCATAAATCTTTGCACCTCGCTTTTTGGCGTGTTCCAATTCTTCCAGCACCACAATACCAGCGCCTTCACCCATTACGAATCCACAACGATCACTGTCAAATGGCCGAGATGCTTCAGTAGGATTGTCATTGTATTGAGATGCAAGTGCCTTGGCCCTATATAAATAAATAAGCATCACTATTCACAAATCCCTGTCATCATCAACCTACTTTGCAAATCCTGAAATGGCCAACGGATGAACGCATGCCTCAGTACCACCAGCTACCATCACATCTGCATCACCAAATTGAATAAAACGCATGGCATCACCGATTGAATGTGCTCCTGTAGTACATGCTGTGGATGCTGCATGATTTGGACCCTTGACAACAATCCATCAATTTGGGAAATCCCTTCCTCTCCTATGTACATGCAACATACCTGGAAACCATACTTGATTGTCAAGTGTCCTGCAGCCATATTGATCAAGATCCTCGGTACAAACATAGGCGATACTTTGCGATGGCCCTTGAAGATCATTATCAGATACCAATTCCAAGATGATCTTTTCCTACACCACTTACCGCTTTATCAAAGGATACGGATGTCGACACGATATCTCCAAAGCTTCCCATTCCTGATCCAATACATACACCCTTTAGAAGGATATGAGCATACTCTCCTCTATCAGATATCAATGATGCTTACCGTTCGTTCTTTGCCAATAGCATCTTTTGGTTTCCACTCTGCGTCGTCTAATGCTTGACGTGCCGCTGCAATAGCATATTGTGTGAAGGTTCCCATAACGCGATCGTCCTACAAGCACGTGGTCAATCGTAAAGGTCGTTGCTGTGTTCCATGGGAGTAGAAGCTTACACCGCGATCGAGCCATTCACTAGCAGTAAATTGACCTTGGTCTTTTGGGCCTTGAGGTACTTGAGCAGCGATTTGCACTGGCAGCTTCTCGTATTCCTCTCCAACAAGCTTTGTAATGCCGCATTGACCTTTCAAGAGATTCGTCCAAGCATGGTTGACACCAACACCCACCGGAGTGACGAGACCAAGACCTGTTACGACTACACGACGTTGTGCCATTGTACAAGTGTAGGAGAAGGAGGAGGAAAGAAAGATGATATCATCCCCGCACAAAAGTCGATCTGCATTTGTTATTCAAGCATAGACAAATCAAATCCCCTCCCTCCCTCCCCACCGAATGCCGTATCATAGCAACAAGTGTCAAGATGGATATTATATATATGAGAATGAAACGATTTTTACTACAGATGTATTCAAAAGATGAATATTATATAGAGAACTTTACATATGCATCTGGGACTCTCTTTAACTCTTCCTTCCTTGTAAATATAGGGTGTTTGTATATGTGTGAGTGTGAGTGTGTGTTATGTGTTGTGTTATATGTGTATATCGGTGGTGTATGTGATGAGGGAGTCTTTTTTTGTTTTCATTTGGTGGGAATCACAAAGGATCAAATGATTTGTTTACCAACCACGCTTGGCATACTTTTGGTCCTCGGACAACTCATCAAGGTTGATACCAACCATGGCTTCACCCAAGTCTTCAGAGACTTCAGCCAAGACCTTGGGATCCTTAAAGTGGGTAACAGCTTGGACTGTAAAGAAAAAAGGGTGGGAAAAGTTAAAACCTAATTTGTCAATATACCAACACCACTTACCAATGGCCTTTGCGCGCTTGGCGGGATCGCCGGACTTGAAGATACCGGAACCGACAAAGACACCATCACAGCCGAGTTGCTATATCAAAACCCCGCGTCACCAGGTCAGCTTTTTTTTTAAACATGTCCCAAATGCAGTTGTGTACGCGTAACATACCATCATCAAAGCGGCATCAGCAGGGGTAGCAACACCACCGGCAGCAAAGTTGACAACAGGGAGACGACCAAGACGAGCGGTTTCCTTGAGCAAATCATAAGGAGCTTGGATATCCTTAGCATAGGCATACAACTCTTCATCGGTCATGGCAGCAGCACGACGAATTTCAGCGTTGACGGTACGCATGTGACGAACAGCTTCAACAACGTTGCCGGTACCAGCTTCACCCTTGGTACGGATCATGGAAGCACCTTCGTTGATACGACGAAGAGCCTCACCCAAGTTCTTAGCACCGCAAACGAAAGGTACCTTGAAGTTCTTCTTGTTGATGTGGTTGGCTTCATCAGCAGGAGTCAAAACTTCGGATTCATCAATGTAATCGATGCCAATGGACTCGATGATTTGAGCCTCAACAAAGTGACCAATGCGGACCTTGGCCATGACAGGGATGGTCACAGCTTCTTGGATACCCTTGATCATCTTGGGATCAGACATACGAGCAACACCACCTATTGGAGCATCATCAATGAGTCATCTCTATTCCCTTCCCTTTCACGCTTTTTTCATCATCCAATGCTCTATTGTACTTACCATTCTTGCGGATATCAGCAGGGACACGCTCCAAGGCCATGACAGCGCAAGCACCAGCTTCCTCGGCAATACGAGCTTGGTCGGCATCGATGACATCCATAATGACACCACCCTATAGAGCATGAGATGAGTAAAGGATAAGGTAAAAAAAACTTCCTGTCATAGGGATGGTGGCTACACTTTGTCTGTGCACCATCACCCCACGGTGACTCGGAGATAAGCTTTCATGTTTATGTATACAATACAATACCTTGAGCATTTGAGCAAGACCAGCATTGATGCTGAACTGGGAAGTCTCGCCGTTTTGGACGGTCTTGTCGTTGTGGAGGTTAACTGGGGTAGTGAAGTTGCTCATGATGATTTTTTGGTGATAGGAAGAAAAGAAACGAAGAAAACGACAGCTTGGAAGGAGAGATTAAAAATGATGCGGGATTTGGAGGAATGACCAATGGTGACAAAGCAAAGCATGACATGACAAGCCACAGTATACAGCTTATGTGATGCCCTTCCGGTTTCCCACGGTTGTGTATAAGTATGGATCGAAGAAGTGCCACACATATAGATCCACATGGTGTGTGTGTGTACACACATATTTACACATTCATACTCACACACGGAGATGCGGCATTAAGCAAAAAGTGGATCGGTATAACCATCCGATAGATGATGAACCCCACATCAAAGACACATCCCTGATCTGGACATGTGATTCGTGCGCCAATCCGCTATCACGGATATTCAATTACTCGCTCCTCCATCAAGGCACACACACAACAGACCCTTTCACGCATAGAGCATTCCATCCTCGGATCTAAATCCACCCCCCACCTCACACACGAAATTTACGCGCAGCTTCCATCCCGCGGCTTGCTTTCCTTTATCATTTTTTTCTCTCTTTCTTTATGCCAGAGCTGATCTACGCTTCCTCATTTCAGAAAGGCTCTTTTAAACTTTTGGAACTTGGCAATGAAACGGTAGCAGCTTCACTTGAACAATGTGGCAAGTAGGTCAACACGGCTTTGACTTTGCTTTTTCCTTCACGCATTAACCTCATTACACAGACTTGTCATTAAAGGACAACGGGAGGACGAGGCTGTGCTATGCACCGACAACCAGACATATAGCTTACACGAAGCGCCCACATCAAACTCTCTTTTATTGGCAACACCACAAGATGATGACACGATGAATGTGGTGGATGACTTGTCCTATATCATCGAGATCAAGCCTTGTCTTCCACGATTGGAACGTATCACTACTTTGCTTCAATCAACCATGTACGCTGGTCCAGCTGCCGAGTCAAGTATCCAAGGCAAGGTGAGATCATACATAGATACATGGATCAAAAATGACATCATTGACACCGTATATGCAGCGCCTCTATACCTATCAAGATATGCTGTCTTTGGTGCAAGCCAGTGAGCAAGAGTTGAAGGAAGGATTGAAATCAAAGCATGCATTTGAATTGGATGGTAAGTAAGAGACAAAGAGAGAGAGAGAGAGAACACAATGAACCATCGACTCATGATGATGATGATGATGATGGCTGTAGGTTATTATCGCATCCTTGATCCAGCTTTCATGTACAATCTACTTGACACGCTTGCCAACAATGCAACATTGTACGACATTGATTTACAAGCGATTCCTTTGGATGGGGCCAAGACATGTATTCGGCAATACCCTGAGGAGGGTGACAAGATCCCTGATGCTGTTGTTATTGCGTGTTTGGATGCATTTGGTGTATGGCGTGAGGATGGTGTCACTGTGGCACTGGATGAGTACAAGGTGTGTCGCTTTATCGGTGAATATTTGCTATCGAGCGAACGAGGAAAGGAATGGCCCTTGGAGGAATACGTGAATCTTTGGCGTAATTTGGTGCGTAAGCGTGTGCAAGATATCTTTTCACCGGATCTATCTATGCTACGAGGATTGTATACGATGCGTGAAAGGACTCAGCTGCAGTTTATGCAACCACAGCAATATCTCAGCTACTTCCCTGTATCCGAACTGCCAAATGACCCCTTGCAGCGATTTGCCCGCTTGTTTGCAGAAAAGAAGCAATGGACACCTGATGAGATTTTACCCTACATTGAGGATTTAGCCCCCGACCAGAAAAAGAAGGACGCTCTCTTACTAAAGTACACTCGTACGCAAAAAAGCAATGGTCAACTCTTTTACGGTACTCGCATCAAATAGACAATAGTATCGTTTGTATATATAAAGCATTTCATTTCATTTCATTTGGATAGTGTCATAGCGAGAATGGGAAGGGGGAGGATAAAAACACTGCTTATCATCATACTGGATAACGCTCTGCCAACTGCACAACGTGATCATACTCATGTCGAAATTCCCAAGTGGTATCATAGCGTTCGAGGCGTGCACACACATCTTGTAGTTGTTCTTTCCAACCCACTCGACGCAAAAAAGCAACGAGGGATGGGTGTGTGACACTGAGCATACGACTTGGATCATCCACTTGACGCTTGAGAACGTTGCCGATTTCCAACACAGCCAAACGACCCAGCTTGGCTTGGTAATAAACATGCTGGCGAACTTCAGGGGCAGCTGTGAGGCTCTGTTGGATAAGCAAGATAATGGCCACTGCAGCTGCGAGTGGGTGTTGAAGGGACGAGCTTAATCGTATCAGCTGATGGTATTCTTGGGCAACCTGAGCAGCATGAACAAACTGTTCACTGGGTCTCAAAGCATCTAAACGACGTGCGATTTCCTTTGCATGGTGTTCGATAATAATAATCTCCTGGATATTTTCTTCTTGCTCTTGTTCTTTTTGCTCATCTTTTTCTTGCTGTTGTTGTAGTAGTTTTTGTTGCTCACTACTAATGATTGGCCACAGATCATGGTACTCCATCATGCAACTCCATACTATTTGACAAAGCACTGTCTTGGACAATCCACCCACCCAAGATTGTAAGGTCCATGCATCCGTTGCTGATAAGGATGATGATGATGACGAAGAAGAAGAAGGGGTTGTGGTGGTGGTGGTTGTGTTGTTGACATGGTGTTGTTGTTGCTCAGAGTTTGATGAAGCATACACAATGGATGGTGGTTGATCAAGACCAATCAAGGATAATAGATAGTTAAAAATGCGTTTTGCTGGGATGTTGTCGAGATATGGCATGTAATGAATACTGTTGGTCGTGGTAACTGCACAAGGTCGGCATATATGTCAAGAGATTCCGACAAGCCAAAATAAGCATCAGGATGTGAAGGTTTTGGAGTGTCTTGTCTTTTGGATTTCAAAGATGTGGTTGCCACGCGGTTGTCGCAAATAGCAATGTACGAAGCAATATAGTTAAAAAAGATGGGTGAGTGAGCAAAAGAACAAGAGGAGAGGGGGAAAAAAAAAGAGAAGAGAAAGAAGAGGGAGGAATCAACACAAATTGCTGCTGCATCCAATTTTAGCAAAGGTTCAAACCAATCACATTTTGATTGGCGGTCATTGCTTGCATGGGCTGCTGATCTCATCCATTCTTGTCCCGTGAATGATATATTGCTTCTCACCACCTACCACCGTTCCTGGATGTACATCGTCACCTCAAAAGCATCATGATGGGTTGTAGGAGTTTGAGTTGATAGTGATTGTAAAGCTAAAGAGACGATCGACACTATGGTTCATTCATGCAACCCTGGAAAGGTGCAGGTATTGTTGGAAGCTTGGTATAAAAGATAGCAGCAGCACACAGGGGTGCGAGTCATTTGTATCACACACACACCCCTTTTTCCTCCTTTTCCATCATCTGTGCCATTCAAAGCTTGATACAACCTTGCTATGATATGATTGCTTATGCAAGTAAATGAATCGAGAGCAACAAGATACGAGTAGTATACCCGTATAATAACAAGTGAAAGGACCACCAACATGCTCATGGAACGGGAATCCATCGTGTGTGTAAAAGCGGAAGGCAAATCTGCTTCTCCTTTCTAACCTGACGCAAGCACACAAATTGCCAGGTTGCATTGTTGCACAAACATTTGCATAATGAAGAAATCCTTTACATTGACAACAGCAATTATAAAACGACACAAGTTATATATTTAGTATTCACATGACAATGAAAACACACAACGAAACATTCGCTATTTCTCTCTCTCTACTCCTCTGGTGGTGGTGGCGGTGGTGGAGCGGGTGCTGAAGGCGGTGGTGGTGGAGGAGCTGGTTCATCCGATGGTGGTGGAGGTGGAGGTGGAGGAACAGCATCCTATAAATGATAAGGGTTGATTAACTCCATGATCATAGACATTGACATCTTTTTGTCACTTACGTATCCATCACTTGGTGGCGGTGGAGGTGGTGGTGGTGGAGCAGCCTGTTGCTATACAACGAAACATGAATACCCAAAAAGGAATCAAAAGTATATAAATGAACTACTTACCCATGGTGCAGAACCTGGTGGGGGAGGAGGCGGTGGTGGTTGTTGATCATAACCTTGATATCCACCATATCCGCCGTAGCCGCCATAACCGCCATAACCTTGATAATAGCCTCCAGGAGGAGGTCCATATGCATTGCCACCTGGTGGTGGTCCATAATTTTGTTTTGCCCAAGGAGCAGGTGCCGACCCTGATGATGTAGGTGGAGGAGGTGCTGAACCTTGATCACGCTGTTGTTGCCATGGTGGTAAGCCGCCTGTATTTGCTGGACGTTGCCAAGGTGCACTCTTTTCACCAGCAAACTATATAAACAAGATATTAGCATTTTTGCTACTCTAAAGTATTTTCCGAAAGCACCTACCTGTCTTCGATCACCACCAGCACCACCGTTTTCAGGTACTTTTTCACCCAATTCGGCCATGAGGTTCATGTATTCGCTGTCAAGATGTTGTTCACGTTCTTGTGCTTGTGCCATGAATTCAGGATCGTTACGATGCAAACAATCACGTGCTGTATGTCCACGACCACCACAAATACGACATGTCAATGCATTGGTGTAGTTTTGTCGTTCAGGGCATTCGTAACGTCGATGACCGACACCACCACAGTTGATACATGTTTGATTCTCATCATCACGCAATGTGCCGTTCAATGCTGCTAATTCACGTAATTGATTGCGCTTCAACTCGTTTTGACCTTCGGGAAGTGTGGCAGACTATAACATAAAAAAAGCATGAATCCCACTACTGTTATACCGCTCATGTCTCATACTTACAGTTTCAATGATCTTTTCAATCAGCTTGACAGCCTTTTTGACCTTATCTTCAGAATCAGCCATGACCAAACAATGCAAATCCTCTTCTTGTGCTGAATTGCTTGCTGCATCTGTTCTCGCTTTTCCTTCCTTGACCGATCCTCGTCCACGAATACTGATCTTGGCACCCGACTCGGATTCCATACCCTTCAACGTATTACCACGAGGACCGATAAGCTGGCCGATAAAGTTGATCTCGGGGAACTCTTTGGCTGGGATATACACTTTCTCATGGATACGAGAGGGTCGTTTGTAATCAGCTGGTGGTCTGAAATTGGGAATCGATTTGACGGCTTGTTCAACCAATCGGTGACGCTCATCTTCAAGCTTCTTTCGATAACGTTGCTCACGAGTATTGACACGCTTGCCTTCAGAGTTGTATACTGGTTCGGGCGATGGTGATCTATTATTTACATGTATCGTCAATATCTCTTTGATGATCCACTCATCCCCCAAAAAAGCTATACACATACCTATCCCTTTCAGCAGGTACTACATCACCTATACGAAGCTTTCGATTGATCTCCTCCAAACGGATTTGCACTAAAAGAACATTATATGAGCAAGCCATTCACTTGATTTACACAATTCTCGTACTTACAAACATAATTGTCGGCTTGTTGTTGGTTTAACTTTGGCAATGATGTTGGCATACCAGGGATGTTGACTTTTTTGGTTTCATCACCCCATCGACTACGTCGTTCTCGTTTGCGTCGTCCTTCACCATTGGGGAACGGTGGTTGTGCTGGTGTGCTAGCCTTTGGAGTGGCATCTTGAGAAGTATTCCCATTGACATCGGAACGGTCTATCAATGAATAATGATGTTAAACACATATCCAGTAGCTTGGTCAAACCCCATACTCCATAACCACCACACCCCTCCTTCCCAATGGCCACATCCACATGATCCAAGCTGTGCACTGATCTCCACAAGTCCCACCGATTGAACTCTGTCACTCAATGTACCTGATTCAGGAGCGGATGGTGGTGTTGCTTCGTATTCGCCTGCTGCTGAGCCGTCTTCGGATTCACCAAATCGTCGCTTTGTACCTAGTGGTATAACATTTGTGCCTGCAAAAAAGGAGTCAATCAAGGGCGATCGGTGCTGAATAGGATTCAATATTACCTGTTGGCTTCCACATGTCTTGATTGTAGCGACCAGCAAGAAAAAGGAAAAGAATAGGTGGGTAAAGAGTTGAAACCGAGCTTGAATTATACAAGAACAACCAATCTTCATCCGTGACGCGGTGAACTGCGTCCTCCCATTCGCTCAGCCTTTTCAAGCAAATGACACTTGTTGCTCTTGTTTCATTGTTATCACACACCCTTTGACTGAAATAAAACGATTCATATTGAACCCATCAACCTGATTCATACCTGTAAAATCACCCACCCCTTTGATTAGCTCTTTGTATTCCATAAATCAGATTGGGCTTCTCTCACTCTTAGAAATTCAACATCTTTACTTTAATGCTTGTTGTGGGATATGGGCTGTGGTGGATAAAGGATACATTCTTATGAAAACGTTACAAATGCCGTTGCCTATAGCAACCAACAAAACACTCTCTCCATGATCAATCTCCCCCTCCCTAGCATTCATGCCAGCCGACTGCAGGTGATCAAAACGTGAAGAGATGGGCGATTATGAAGTTGACATCACATTTTATTCTGAGATCGACGTATGCATCATTGTTAAGTTGGCTGACTGAAGCATGAAACTGATACTGTATACCACAAACTACGTCAAGAATAGAGCGCCGTGTATCGACCTTCAAGATGTTCAATCCTCAAATCGCTCTCTGCAATTGATCCAAGGCCTTGTCGATGGATTTACTGATCATTTTTTGCATGAATACAATGTCACGTGGATGAAGCAAGTACGTACTTACATTTGCTTTGAAAGCGTATGCAGTTGGGCTAAATCCTTATCAAGTTCATCACACTGTGTAATCAATTCCACTGTTTTTCCTGTGCAGTCGTTGACTTCCTCAGAGAGCTTCTGTATCGACTGCTTGTATATTTCACTAGACTCGGCGGTGGACGATGACATCTGCAACAAGTCCAAGATGAGCCATGAGATGGAAAATAAGGCCGCATGTTCCAATTCAGTACTTGTCTCATCTGCGTTTGCAGCCGTTGGATCACATTGCTAAGGTTACTTGACAAGTCGTTTGCTCGGGACTCGAGTGTCTGGAATAGTTCCAAATCCAATGGCACAGACATGAGAAACGCCGCACGCGCTCCACGCAACTCGTATCCACGTGCATCCCCAAAAATTGTTGTCAGTCAAGGTCTAGTGCGTGCATTGCGACACGTTACACCAATTGACGGATAAGAGATCGACATGTTGTTGTAAAAAGTCAAATGCAATGTAGTATTATATGATTAAATGGACATGCAGTAATATTGTATATACGTCTATCTGGTATCTTTTTGCTTCATCTACACCTTGTTTGCTGCTGCTGCTGAATCAAGGTTCCTGTTGTTGATGTTGTTGTTGGTGGTGGTGCTTGCATCGGAATCGAACCGTTTGCGTAGAGATCGAATCATCAAGCCAAACCAGTATACATTGAGGAAGCTGGTCATTGCATTGGCTGCAAAATACACGATCCAATCTTCATAAAAGGTCGCCATAATCAATACGTTGCACAACATAGGGATCCTTTGTCATCAAACTTACATCGTAGAGGTACCAAATCCTTGACAGCACAAATGTCAACTATCATTCCACACCCAAATGATGAGTATTTGCCTTTCCTTATTGAGACCTTGATACTCACCCCATAACCAATAGCTCATGTAGAATCCAAAAACGATACGAGCCAAAAAGAAGATTGAGATAAGGAAGATGCCATTCACGAGTTGTGCCTTGCTCCCGGTCCAACCAAGCTTATCCTGCAAATATCATCATCCATGAGCATTCCAATGAGCAAAAGGGAAAGAGAAAGCTGAAACAAACCATAAACCAATTGAAGTTCAAGAATGGGGTACTAGCTTCGTACAACAAGAATACTGCTCCGTAGTAATTGATAAAGGGACGCTGTACATAGTAAAAAAGGAGCCAACACGGTAAATAAAAGGATCCATAGATGATTAACATGGCCTACTTACATAAGAAAGAAAGAGGACAAGGAAAGCAGCCACACCATGGCACACCATACTGACGCCTTGGTTTTTGATATACAAGATGGCCGTAATTACGTCCCACACAAAGTACCTGTTGTACATGCCCTGAGTCAATCCTTTTCCCTTATCCTTCTTGGAGTACAGTTGTCTTTTCTACCTACCCGCATGATATCGAATAGATGTTGGCAGCGAATGGGCTATATCCGAAAACCCGGTTTTGTGAGAGATTGCCATCGGACAAGATTACGAGTGAGCCGATCGTGATAATGACAGCATGGAGTGTTGAGACAACGTGAATGTGCCAGTTGGTTGGAGTATACTGGGTTGTTTTAAGGAGCGATGAGTACTTGGCATAGTGTATAAGGAGGTTCATATCAATCACTCACGCCTTTGAAATGCTGGAAGGCTTTCGGAAAGAGAAGCGGTGATAATGATTGCGATACTTCAAAGAGAATACTGCACAAAAGAGCTGAGATCACCACCACCTGCCAGTGATATTGGAGTGTTGTAAGATCGAGCCACTCGCAAATGGAAGCAAATGAAATCATTCAAAAAGAGGGAGGGAGTGGGGGTTGGGGTATGTTTGCGTGAAAGAGAGGGAAGAAAAAAAGACTTAAAGATCGATTACACCAGAAAGACAATGGACTTAATCGTATTTATTTATAACATCGTCTAAAGCCCCGCCCTCGACGACGCCGCCACCACCGCCTACTTGAAGATCAGCAACCACAACAGCTTCTTTCTTCTTGGCAGTAATGATCTTCCATTTGGCTATGCAACGATAATCCTCAAACTCATCCAAAGCTGCCAAGCACACACGATCATATTCAACTTCGGATACTTGGAGTTCGGAGAGCCACCACCGCTTCATGGATTTGAATAAACTCTTCATTTGTTCTTTGTATAGGAACCCATATTGTCGTTGAACTAATAAAGAACCATGAATGAAAGAATTCAATGATACATAAATGTCATCCTTCATTTTACATACCTGGATTAGAAGGCCATTCTCCAATGGGGATGTCATAGACTTGAATATCAATATCATCAAAGCCAGCTTCTTTCAGGTATCCATCCAATGAATCAGCATAGTTGGGATCTACACCAATGGTGGCTGCAGCGAGCTTGTACCATTCATTGACTAACGCAAGCACGGGGCCAGGATTTTTGAAGAGCATATCTGTAGCAGCAGCCGTAGACTGAAGTTTGTGTCACACATCCCAAAATATCCACAACCCACCCATCATGCTTACCATATTCTACTAGCTCCAGTTTTCCACCAGGTCTTAAAACACGATGAAATTCTCGAATCAAGGATGGCCAATGTTTCTTGGGTACAACATGGGCTACATCACGCTGGTAGATGTAATCGAATTGCTGATCCGCAAATTCAAGCGGGGCAAGAATATCACCGCGTTTATAGGTAACGTTGGCGGGAATACTTTGTGTTGGTAAACCTGAACGTTCATTGGTGGGGGGAACAAGGTCGATACCGATAATGCGACTTTGCGGTGCAAGCACTTGAGCCATCTCAAAAGCCCATAAGCCTTCAAATCTTCCAAATCAGAAAGGTCTTTCATGTAATAAAGGGGATCATTTGCTTACCTGTCCCGCAGGCACATTCTAATACATCATGTACACCATCTAAGGAAACATGGGCATTGCCACCAAATACGCGCTTGAGGACGTAATGCTGTGTTCAATGAAAGATCCAATCATAAAAGTGAGTGAGATCGTCCCGACTATTCCGTTTACGGTTGTATTTTCATCTCATTCCCGATCTAACCTGCCGTAATTGTCTATAGAGGACACAACCATAGGATGGGATATGAGTTTCGTGCTTGCCCCTTTTATGTGCAAGGGAAAAAAAGGGGAGTCTGGGGGATCGAATACGGTGGCGATAGGGTAAAGAGGCGCAGCTTACATACCTATTGTATTCTTTTTCTTCACCATACTCGTAGAGTTGGGTGTTCTTTTTCGTTTGTGTTACTGCTGTGCCCGCACTATCCCGTCGTTTTCGGTTATCTTCTGCTGCACTCTCTGCTGATGCAATAGCCGAGTCAAAGACAATCATGGTGGAAGGATTCATATGGTAATTGGATGGCCAGCCATCCACCAAAGAGGATGTTGTAGTAGTAGATGCGTCTAATGAATTAAGAGGCTGCTGTTGGTTGTTGGCAGCTGCTGCTGTAGGTGTACCAGGTTCGTCATCGCTCGTGTTCAATGATGATAGGCTATGGGTATCGTATCGCTGGCTATGAGATGTATGTTGTCGCATACGACGTCGAGTGGATGATGAGGATAAAAGAGGGATCGTCTTTGATGTGCTATCCGAAATGACAACTTGGTGTCGTACCGGAGTAGGTGTGCTGCTGCTGCTACTACTGCTGCCATTGTTGCTACGATGATCGTTGATGATGGAACGTGAACGTGAGATGTTGACAAGCCTGTATTTCTTTTGTGAATCTTGTTGTTTAGCGAGTTGATTGCCCATCTCAATCCAAGCAAAAGAAAAGAGAAGCAAAAGAAAGTTGGAGAGGAGAAAGAAATAAAAAAGAGGCGTAATCTCTAAAGCCAACAAAGTGATATGATATGCCCTCTTTTTCCCAGCAAGAGCAAAAGGAACACATGATGTTGAAAACCAGCAATTCCCATCAGCAAGCCAATCAGCAGAAATATCCCCACATCAACAAAGAGCCTCTTTTCTCATTCCCACATCACAAAACAAAAACACACAAACCACATGTTCAGCATTGTGCAACCTGCAAGGCAAGAGTGCATCATATGCCGGATCGGCAAGGGTCCGTGTGCTATTCCGCGGATGTCTTTCTTAACTCTGTTCATTTACGCTCTTGCTCTGTCATACCAAAACTCTGGATAATAGTGTTGCAATATTGACTGATGACTGTGGACAGCTGACATGTACTACTTGTGGTCATCATCATCGCCTTCAACATGGCCCATTTTCAACATGGTGATAAACGCGAGAGCAATTTACTGGTTTGGCAATCACCATTGCAGCATCACATATAAGGATTGTTGTGGGGGAGAGAAAAAAAAGTGGTCAAAGTGAACAAGCATCATTCTCCTCGTTCATAACCAGGAGTGCAATTTCGAGTTTACCCTCCTCCTCCTGTTTCATCCAAAATGCATCTTTTTCAACCCAAAAAAAAAGCTTCCCCCTTGTCCTTTCTCCCCACGTGCGTCGCGTGTTAAGGGAGCAGCCACATTGCCACGTGCTCCACGTTTTGCAAATGCTTGTAAAAATCAACATGCTTTTTGGATCGACATCAACGATCGGGTGCATCCGAATATGCCTACTACTACAACACCGATCAATGGCAAGTTGTCAATGGATTGGCTCATCATCATGATGCAACAAGGTCGTTGACATGGCGTATACGTGATGATGCATCTATACAACTACTACTACTCTTCACCATATGCCCATCATCTTCCTCCTTTTCACCCTTTGTTCCCCTCACTCACAATTTCCCTCGAGTTACCATGCTTGGTTCTTTTCCATCCATTTGATTCCCTCACACGCATTCCCAACAAAATGGTTCCTGGGTTGTTTACCAATAATGATGATCCATTATGGTGGTCATTCTCAAGCTATTACAATGTTTGATATGCATATTTGATATGTACTTTGATGATCCCCGAGAGCGGGAAAGTATGCTCACCCAACGGATAAAAGCGGAAATGGCACTTGTCATGTGGCGGGCGATTCCTACTAAGCCGTCTCCCTCTTGTATGTCTTGTGTACCAGCCTATTTGGATATGGGTAATACCTTCGCTTTTCTTTCTTTCCCATTTGCGTGTCTTTCAATCCATGAAAATGGCCCTTGGTACAACAATAAGGAGTATACTCAAAAGGAGTACATATAGATGCTGTAGTTGTTTTGGCAAGCGTTCACACATATCCACAAATTGGACACACACAAAATGCTATGTGCTGGTATGTGGGCGTCGTCCCTTGTCGAGTAACACAGCCTTTACCTGCATGTATTGCCTGTTGCCTTTGACCACACACACACACGCACCTGCGCTGTGACGCACACTGCTAAATAAAGACATGTGTCACGACATAACGCACATACATCACACACGCACACATACACACACACTTGCGTGCATCCGAGACTTGTAAACAAAAAACAACAACCGGGTCCCTTGCCCTTTCCAGACAACACAAAATCAGGTCGCGTGGATGATGCCACCACTGCCGTGTGTCTTTGTTTGTGCGTAAGTGACCAACACGTTGATGACAAGGGGAATGAGAATGATAAGAGAGCATGGCTAAAAGACATAGGATGATGCCCTTAATTAGGGATTTCCCCTATCAGGTACGGAGAGCCACGCGATGCCATGTATGGGTAGAGCACGTTGCTACTTACATTCTTGATTGGGAGGAAGCGAGTAAAGATTTTTCCTATGAAAGAAGGTCAATGGGCACTTTAAGCTTGAAGCGGTAATGATGATGATGTCGGTGTTATGCTGCATGACTTTTGAGACACACCACACGCATATACCAAAAGTGTGAATTGAGATCTGGGACCTTTCTTTTTGTGTGAGGCATTTTGGCGGGTGGTAATATGGTATGGCCCATCAACTCAAACGCACGCGAGATTTGTGTACCCCCACCACACACACACACTCTCTCTCTTGTTCTACTTTTGCTCCCTGCCGTCATCCCCCCTTCCTTCCTTATCCCCTTTTCTCTATCTCTTCTTGTACTCGTTTTGGTCAATGGCCGGCTTTTGAAAGCCAGATGCATCCCCACACTATAAAAAACAACAACTCACTACTTTCAATGCATCTCATCTACGCATTCTTATTCCCTGCTACTTCTACTACTACTACCCACACCCTTTCTTTTCTCATACACATAAACGTGCACTACGTTATCACGAATGGCACTTCCCTTTGATGTACTTTTGGATGACATTCTCTTTGCAGACACCACCTTTGCATCACCATCACCATCACCCCCTGCTATTGTACCTACCACCACCACTAACACGGTCAACAACAATAACAACGCCGCCTCTTTTGGCAGCTACTGTCAGCAAGGACCATCACCACAACAACAACCTTGGGTCAATGGATCGCCACTAGAATGCCCATCATCAACAGCACCTATCATGATTCCCGAATATCCAAAGGCCAATACCATTGCTGGTCATATGGAACACTACCCCATGCAGCAGCAGCATTATGTAGATGACAACGCATGCGTGTTGTCGCCCGTGTTGTCGAGCAGCGAAGGTAGCTGCAGTAGTTCTTGCTATGGTAAGTTTGTTGTGCAAGGTGATGCAAAACGCACGTGGCTAATCCGTGTTACGTCTCTTCCGTAGATTGCCATCCGTCATTGTCCTACTTTCCGTCATCATCCATAGTCGTTCAACAACCCATCACGGCTGCTTCAGAATCAACATCCACTCCTTTATGTTGGCAACAACAACAACATCATCAACTTCAAGATGGTCCATACAATAATGATACCCCTATCCCCATCACCATCCCTACTACCACTAGTAATGATGCTACTACTACAACTTGTACATCTACTACGTCGGCTGCCATTGATATCACAGCAACAGCAACATCCGTTTGCTCTGATGATTGGATGATCCTCCATGAAGATGTCGGTGATAACAAGCCTACAACAACAACAGCAACAGCATCAAGTCATCGTCGCCGGCCACGCTTACACCATTGCCCCTATTGCACACACACAAGCAATAGGGCCAATAACATGAAAGAGCACATTCTTACCCATGACCCACATCGCCCAAAGAATTTCCCTTGTCCTCTTTGTGGCAAACGCTTTGCACGCAAACACGACATGAAGCGTCATACAAAATCGCCCCATCACCAGCATGCGTATATCCGATAGATCCTACAACTACTACAACAACATGGCATTTGCATTCATTTTTTTGTACATTTTTATATACCTTGATCAACCTTTTATTAGACTCACACCGCCCTCATACTATGTAAATATAAATTAGAGAAGAATCATTCAAGTCATAAACGCTATACACCAATTTTTCATTAGACTACAACATGCTCTTGTTGGAATCATGGTTGTTGTTGCCAGGTTACAGGCATCCTTCTCTTCACCCTTTATGGCACCATAATAAGCCGCACGTGTCTCCTATCCTTTCTCCACCACCAACTCTCAACCCTGTGGCTGGTCATGCCTGTCATCCACGCTTCCCTGCAACTTTATCAAAACACTACTAGGACCAGAGTTGGTTTTGAATGCACATCATTTTGGCATATGGGCAATCCAAATTAGACATACAATGTCAACACACGTCTTGTGATGATGTTATTATGGGGGATTGTTAAAAAAGAGGGAGGCAAAAAGATGATAGAGGTACGATAAGAGCGGCACTATGGACACGACCGCCATTGCCGATCTCCTTCCTTTTAGCAACAACAAGAGATCAAAGCTGGGATGAATGTTGATGATCATCGATCCCTACTTGGAAATGATCAGTGAGATGATGCTTGTATCCAGTACGAAGGAGGTAGGAAGATGACGCTAGGAAAAAGGGAGAAGAGAAAGAGGGAAGCAGCACCATTCGATACGATGATGGCTATCGAACGTTGCTTTTCGTTTTCATTTTGAGACACTGATGGAGAATGAAAATGGCGTACGTATCATACGTCGTAGTGGCAAGTACATGTACTGCTCTCAGATAGGCTTATTCATATGACAAGTTGTTGATGGACAAAAAGGGAATTCTAATGATCGAGCATCCAACGACGACCTATTACTATGTTGGGTGACGATCGTCCTTAAGATATTACTGGTATGATGCTAGGGCCAATGGGGAGGTGAAAGAAGGGGGTGTAACATTACGAGAGGTACACCTCTTTTTTTTTGACAACGACAAGAGCACTGCTTTAGGGAGTAAAGACTCTCTCGGAAAGGGGCCCGATCAATTTCATTGTCTTGAGGTAACACAAAAATGGATGATGTGCATTGATGAAGCGGGGGAGAGTCAAGGTGTGTGTGTGTGTGGGAATTGATCAGCAATAGACTCAAGGTTAAGATTCTTGCAAAAACTACTTTGTATCTTATCTCAATGGGAAATTTTTATTGACACGAAAGCAAAAGCGCACATTATATTACGAGTGTAAAAGCAAACGAAAAGAGCAAATGATGAGGAGGGAAGAAGACTGTATGGATAATGATTGTATTTTCTCTAGCATCCTACACTGCCGGCGGCGTCACCAGGATGCCAGCTCAGCATGTGTTGCATGGAGGATGAAGTGGATGGAGGAGCAGCAGCAGGAGGAGGAGCACCAGGATGATGATGCTGTGATGATGATGACGATGTTGGATGGTGTTGTGGTTGTTGTTGTTGATGATGATGGCCACCAGGTCGCATGAAATCGACAAAGGACATGGACTCATTGGGTGTTTGTGGACGTTGTTGCTGAGGATGATGATAGGGTGATGGATAAGGTCGATGTTCTTGGTATCTTGATTCACGTCGTTCATGCGTCTTTAAATGTTGAGTGAGATTATCGGATCGAGAAAACGACTTTTGGCATCCAGCATATGTACATTGGAAAGGTCGTTCTAAGGTATGGATACGCATGTGTCGCTTGAGATGTTCCAATCGCTTGAACCGTCGATGGCAATCCGGATGTGTGCAAATGTGCTGCTTTTCATCATCAGAGGAAGAAGAAGGTGATGATGATGAGGGTGGTGGTGGTGGCATCATATTATCAGCAGCACTATTAGGAGCCGTGGGTGGTGGTGGTGGTGCACCTTCCATAGGACCATACGATTGACGATGATGATGAAAAGCAGGTACTTGAGGAGGCGCCTGGCCATTGGTTGTTGATGAAGAACGAGACATGAGATAGTGATGGGTATCTTGATGCTGTTGTTGTTGATCCATGCGATGATGTGGGTGATGATGTGGATGATGAAAGCTATCAAAGCTTGGTGGTGGAGGAAGAAAGGTTTGTGTTGGTGGTGCACTCGTATCGGATGAAGAAGGAGGAGGAGGCACAGCAACATTGCCAGGTGCTGTTGAGGTACCCTTTTGCTGCTCAAGAGCTTTTTTGGTATGCGTACGATAATGTGCATGAAAGTTGTCAGATCGGCTAAAACGCTTGCCACATCCTGGGTAGGGGCAAGCATGTGGACGTTCACCAGTGTGCACCAACATATGACGTTTCAAGTGCTCGTATCGCTTAAAACTCCATCCACAATGTGGGTAGTTACACACATGCTTGTTTTGTTTGCTTGGTTGGCGACGAGATGGCATGCGATCAGAGAATGAGAATGAACGATTTTCCTTGACCATGCGATTGGTATCCCAATATTGACGATTGAATTCATCCAAGGACATGGCTGAACATGCTGATGAACGCCGATCGATAGGATCATTAACAAGAAGCCGATTGGGTGATGATGATGTAGGATGAACAGCGGAGGATGGTTGGTATGCAAGAGGATGATCAGAAGGGAATTTTGATTTGAAATGATGATTAGCTGACAAGGTAGTAATAGATGGTGTGATGGAAGGTGTCAATGGTGGTGAGAGCACTTGATCAGAATCGGCGGGGTTGGCATGTTGTCTTGGTGGAGGCGGCAAAGAAAAGGTGCTCGATCGTCGTGGTTCGTAACAGTAGGTGTTGCCAGTGGAATCCATTGGAGGTAAAAGGGGCGAAAGAAAAAAGGTGTGGAGGGATTAGGGCTCAAGGACAAAGGAACGCGAAAAGAAAAATGATGGGGGAGACCAAAATGACTCGCTACCTTTATATACAAATGAATTAGAGCAGCACAGCAAACAGCTAGCACGCATCCTGTGCATAAGTGTGTGTGGTGGTAGGTGTGGATGTGCGTGTGGTAAATGTGGGTAGGCCTGCTTTGTGTCCCTTTTCCCTTTCACCTGCAGGAACCTTTTGGCCTGTGTTGACAGGATCGTCACACACAGTTGTTCCTTTTGATACCCCCAATGTGCTGGTTGTCTATATATGGTCATATTACCCTCACAAAAAACAGTGGCATAATAATGACAGCAACAAAGTGGGTCATTGAATTCTCGGTAAAATACGAAAACGAGTGTGTGTGAGCGTGTATCTCGAACACAGTAGCTTGGTTTTGCTCTCACCCGGTACGCAGTATCCCTCCTAGATTGGCCTGCAGCCAATGCAGATTCGTCACTTTACACTGAATGCGCGCTTGTAGCACACTGCTAGTGTATGATAATACCTCCTCCTCCCCCTTTTACACAAAACTGACGAAATAGCATCTTGTCCCCCTCTTTTTCAAGTTCCAATTGAATGCTCTTGCTCTTAACTTTGGCTGCGTAATTCGACTACATATACCCGCAGCTCTTGATTTCATTGTATTATGTGTATAGATTCAATATCAATTGGTCTATTTTACCCTATTCATCACATGCAAGAATATAGGCGAGCCCGCTATCACCACCAACCAGCTGCATCAGGATCATAACATCCATTAGTCTCCTGCAGCAATACTCATAGAGCTCTCTCTCTCTCTCTTCGATCAATTTCCTCTCCCCTTTTTCTCGGGCGCGTTTCTAAAAACATGATCAAAGGGATGAAAAGGTGCAGTACTTCATAATTACGGGTATGTTTCTCTGCTGTTGTCCTCTCCTTCATGCGGCTATAGGTACAATCTTTTACGCGCAAGTATACACATACACCATGCTTCTATACTATGGTCATTTCCCCGTGGTCAGGAGAGGACGCTATATGCCCTTGTCCTTTTTCTTTCTCTCCCCCAACATCTCCTTTCCCCTGTGAGCGAGAAAACCATCTCCTTTTTTCTTCACCCCCTAGATCTCACTTTTTTTTCTTTCTAGGATTACCCCCTTAGTACCATCCATCCCTATAGCATCCCGTCGAGGTGTCTTAACTTTACAATGGCTCGTATTCTGTACTTTGCTAGATTATTAACGTGCCCAAAATGAATGATTTAATGAAGCTTCCCGATAAAAGAGCCATCACCTTTGATGTATAGGCAACATGAAGAAGTTGACATACCACTATGATTAGCAATCAAAATGAAAATCTATGCCTTTATTTGCGACATTTATGATGGTTTATCTAGGATTGCATGTGCGTGTCTTCGTGTGCTTAGCATCAAGCGACACACGCACGGTCATGTTTTTAGATGATTCCAGCTCGCACACACCAAAAGATAAGCTTTCCCACTACATAAGGGTAAAATGTCCCCTTCGGTGTTACCATGGAAACGGATGACTATGTCGAATAGCCAACAGCCATTGTTGGTCGTTATTGTATACGAGAAGATAACCCATCGTGCGAACCATTTCTTCCTTGTACTTTTGCATTATGACGTATATCTACACTATGCAATGGAGACTCCATGTGTGATGTGTCTCATTTTTCAAACCTTATACAAAATGACTTTTTTCGATTGCTCCGTTTTTGATTACTGTTTAGGAGGCTCACAGCAGGCGATCCATCATCTGAAGAAAAGGAGTATGAAAGGGACAAGGGGTAAGGTTGTGGAGGTAGAGAGAGAGAGAGAGAGAAAGAGAGGGCAAGATAGGCATACACACATTTGAGTGATTTCCCGCATTTCTTTTTGCTTCCCCGGTGTTAGTATAATTCGAGTGGAGTAAGGTGCATTAGTGAATGTACATCTTTACTTGACCCCTTCTATGTGGATAATCTCCGGGAAAGCTCTTCAAATTGCTATTACCTCCTATTAACATCAGGTAGCCGGTATGAAGTTATCATCTCCCTCTCTTCTTTTTGCTCTTGCAAGAAAAATCTTACTCCTCAATTACTATAACCCCTCCAATACCTGTATCTTGCGAGTCGTTTGTCATTTTTAAAAGGGGGGAAGGAGAGTCGGGCTTGGTTACCAGGAAGAATCCCTTGGACCCTGTAACACATGTCCTTGTGTACGTGCATTTATCATTGTTGCTCTTGCTGATTTGGCACATTATCTGCAATTTATTATTAACTGCTGTGAGACATTGATCTTTAAAGATGGCGTCTATCATCGATGATGGTGTATATGCAAGTTGCCTAGGATACATATAGATACACACGTATGCTGGTTTGCATTTCATCCACCATCATCACCATTACTACATGTGGGGCCCATGCTTCCACGTGTGTTCGAGACCGTGGTAGTAACATTATTCCAAGCAGCAGCAAGTGATCATTGGTGCTGCTCATATGTGTATGTGAGATCATTGGTGTATAGTGGGCGGGCTATACCTCGATTTGCATAGGTGTGATGGGATTTACCTACCCCTAGTTTTCATTTGCCGTTGAAGCACCTAGAAAAAACAAAGAAACAAATCCCAGGAATAACAAAGTAGCAGCATTAGCACGCCTCCTCCTCCTCCTCCTTCTACTCCTTGGGGCTCACCCTTCTCCCATACTGGCGCATTTCTTCTTCACTTGATGATGATGCATATAAGTGGTGGTTAACCCGTGCATGCTAAAAAGTTAAAAGGAGTAAAAAAAGAATTACACCGGTTCCCGGAATCGATTGCCGTGTGTGTGTGTGTGTGTATGTGCTCCCTCTTGTGCTTCCCCTTTTGTCCCTCTCGATGATGGAGTACATCCATGGATGATATAGTGTATAAAAAAAGTGAGCGAATATGGAAGGATCAACATAGGTATAGCGGGTGGTAAAAGATCATGAGTATAGCAGTGTATGTTCATGTGGGGGTTAAAATAGAGGACAATGATGATAGCTCATATACCATAACGCACGTACCCAACCCCACTTTTTTTGCCTCCTTGGGTAGGACGACGTTGGCTCATTCTTTATTTTTTCCACCCGAGGATTGTGGTGCTGATCGCGTGGGGGTGAATAAAAAAGATGATCATTGCTTCTCTACTCCTTGTACATCATTGTAGTATTATGGTTTGAGATAGGCGAGGCGCAGCAATCATACGCATATCGATACATGGATGTGAAACACGAGTTGCCATTATGCATGTATGCACTCTAGGGATCATGACAGCTGTTGCTATTGATGTATGTAATAAGAATACTGATCATGACGGATACTTGTCATTGTCGGACATGTCCTTTTTTGTTTGCCTGACCGATCATTGTAGCACATGCAGCATGCCAAGACTACACGAATAGCAACCCATGTCGACATGAACAGGTTGAACGCACGACGACGGGCTCTTCATATGGCATTGATGATGGGGAATGGGATAAGGAAAGAAAGCAGCAGCGGTGGTGAGAAGGAATCATGTTGTGTTGTTGTTGTTGTTGTGTTGAAACAATGAATTGAACCTTAACCATGGATGTCATTTTCATTAGCAGTAAAAAAAAGTTAAGGCACGTGCTATATCACGCATGGGAGTGTGTATGGTGAACAGGTTGGGTTGGGTGGTGGTGGTGGTGATCTATTACAACTACCGCGCGCGCGCTCTCTCTCTCACTCTCACTCTCTCACACATCCTCCTCCACTCACAGCGGATCAGATAGTGACGTATAAGCAGCAATTTCCTAAAACCTTACGTGCAACCCGTTCCGACTCCTTTGTACTTTTTCTTTCTTATTCCATCTTTAGCACATCATCCATGGTAAGTAGCCTCGAGATGTTCGTCATTCCAGTCTCATGCACCCCATTGCTCACTCGCTTTGACTTTCTTTCTTAGGCTGACCAACTTACCGAAGAGCAAATTGCAGAGTTCAAGGAAGCTTTCACTCTCTTTGACAAGGACGGTGACGGTAGCATTACCACCAAGGAACTTGGCACTGTTATGCGTTCTCTCAACTTGAACCCCACCGAGGCCGAGCTTCAGGATATGGTATGTTGCAACAACAACAGGGAGAGGAGGAGGAGGAGGAGGAGGAGGTGACAAGGGAGAACGCCAAGACCACGGAGAAGTGTATGCTTTTCTCGTGTGTCTCAAAGGGGTTGTGTTGGGTTTAGAAAAGGGTGGTGGTGTAATGGATGAGGTTGTCAAGGGTTCACAATAAACATTGTATTCATTCATTCATCTTCTCTTTTATCAATGATTCTAGGTCAACGAGGTCGATAGCGATGGTAACGGTACCATTGACTTTAGCGAGTTTCTTACCATGATCGCAAGGTAATGCGAGGGCGGAATTGGATTGGATGACACCAGCTGCGGGACATATATCTGACATTGGATGTTATCGTTGGGCTGGGGGGCAATAGAAAGATGAAGGATACAGACTCCCAAGAAGAAATCCAAGAGGCTTTCAAGGTCTTCGATAAGGATGGCAACGGCTACATTTCGGCCGCCGAGTTGCGTCATGTCATGACTTCGTTGGGTAAGTTTTTTATTTAATCTTGGTTACCATGGCAACACCATGTTCCTCATCATCCTCATCCATCTATCTATTATCGACCTTAGGTGAAAAGCTTTCCGAGGAGGAGGTTGATGAAATGATCCGTGAGGCTGATGTCGACCAAGATGGTCAAATCAACTACGAGGAATTTGTCAAGATGATGGTAAGTAGATGAAGTTTAACTTGAGATGCATAGACACACTAAACCAACCACCTTCTTCTTTTAGATGTCCAAGTAGATAAACACACACAAGACAAGTACACACATCCCCTCGGGCCCCCCATTTACCTTTTCATATACTCCAACTAAAATACATGATATTTGTATCAACAAATTGAAAACCACGGATATTGTGGCGCGACTTGTACTAGTGTGGGCTTTTGTTTTGGTTGGGTTGTGTGATACAAGAGCTGCGTGTGGCTGACATGATTGACACTTTCTCTATATACGCACCACACGGCAAATTATGAATATGTATTTGGAAGGGTTCCTCATAACACTATTGCTATTCCTAATTGCTTCGTGTGCTTGATGAAGCTGTATTGGTGGTATACCTTGGGCTTGTGCTGCTGTAGGAGATGGTTAAGAATGCATGGTAATCATCATCTGTGTCTTGTAAGTGTGATGGCTAAGCACCACAAAGGGCGTCTACCTTGATCAAATGGAGCCTTTGCTGTGAAGGGGCATGATGTAACATTCATATGATTCGTTATCGATAACGTCCACTGCTTAATACCACAAAAACCACTTACTGTATTCCACCCATCATTCCATGTGCCTTGCTTGACAAGGCATTCCCTGTATAAAATGGAAGGAATCAATCATGAGAGGGGTTGTTGGCATATGCAAGTCGTGTTGTAGGCGATTTGTGTAACACAAATGCTCATCATTCTTCAAGTCCACTGGCTGCTGCACCAAGTCACCTGTAATCTCTTTTTCTCCCCACTCTTTAAAACAATATGAGAGCTTACGTTTACGATACTGCCGATACTGCAGACCAGCGTGCACCCCACGACACTGGCATTGAAAAGTCAATCGACGATCTCTCTCGCATTGGCGTCCTTTACTGGCGATTTGACGGTCCCGATGCCACTGAACGTCTCGATAAACTTGCACTCGAACGCCAATACAAGAACCGCGACCAAGTGTGTTATCATGGTAGTTGGTATTTTGCTCTTTATTTAACATGTGGATATGCTAGATTGTAGTGTCTCCTGAGTCTATGGGTGAAGTTTATGAGGAAAAAGTCAAGATGTTCTTTGCCGAGTAATGTATCCATGGATGCGGGCGTATCCTAGGAAACCCTTTACTCACTTTTTGTGAATTAGACATCTTCATGAGGATGAGGAAATCCGCTTTGTTCTCGATGGTACAGGTTACTTTGATGTCCGTGATCAGCAAGATGTGTGGGTGCGCATTGCTGTCGAGAAGGGTGATATGTTGGTGTTGGTATGTATTGAACACACACATCATTGTCTATCCTATCGTATTGACATCCGTTATATAGCCTGCTGGTATCTATCATCGATTCACCACTGACAGCAACAACTATATCAAGGCCTTGCGTCTTTTCAAGGATGAACCTCTTTGGACTGCTCTCAATCGTAAGTAGATCCACACATATATCGTCCGCTTAACTCATGCAATTACAATAGGTCCCTCTGCAGATGATAACCCTTATCGTGCTGAATACCTTAAAGCCATCCAAGCATGAATATAAAATGCCATTACAAATACAAAGGATATAATGACGACCATCTTTATAACGAGTGATGATAAAACTTGAATGGAAAAGAGAGGATGATGATGATGATGAATAAGAAATGAGAGAAAGAGAGTATGTGTGTGTGATACATCTAATCCCTAACGCTACCATCCCTGGGTCTGTAGATAACACCTCGTCGCTCTAAGTCATCTTCAATATCTTCTGGTATCCGTCCATATACTCGAATGGCGTATACACCTCTTGTGAACTTGTCTACTCATACATACATACATGCAGTGTTGAATATCTTCCCTCCTTGTTGCTATCTGGTTTCCTTACCAACACGTTGCCATCTTGCCACCCAACTCTCATGAGGCTGCATCAGAGCAATGACTCTACAAAGCTATCGATCAGTTCTCCGTACGTAATATCCAATTCCACGCATGCGAGTTACCCTTCAAACTTATTGCTTGTACATTCTTGCACTCGATCTGTTCGTCCTCGCATTCGCAATAGTTCCTCGCAATTCTCGCAACCGTTCGCTCGGAATTGTGACGCATTCTAAGAGACAGGAATCTATAAGGCTGGTTTCTTTTTTGATCGGCATCGTTCTTTGTTACCTTGACCAATGAGCACAAAAGGCAAGCACGTAATTGCTTCTTTTCGAGAGGCAACGTTTGAGACATGATAAGTGTATGTGTAGAGGTATAGAATAAAGGAAATCCAACTTGGTTCCCCGGCAGCGTCCTCATTTAATGTCATCTTTGGTGTCAGTTTGGTATTCGAGCAGCCAATAAACTGCCTACTCCTCCATAGTCCTTCTACAACCCACGATAGTCATATGATCCAATAAAGGTTGTCTTATAAGTATATACAACAGATATGCTTCTATTCGTCTAGCCTATGAACATCTACCCATTCACCACTCAAAGCATCCAATGTCTGTACATAAAACTGCTTGAGACTTTCAATGGCACGCTCCTCACTTTGGATTCTAATAAGGCTCTTCCTTGATTGTTTTCCCTTGATCCACAAGTCTTCCAATTCTTGTTGCTTCTGGATAGCCTGAAATGAACTAGAAGATGACTCACCACCTTGCTGGTTGGACCAATGACTTGTCTTGCTATTTCCTCGTTGTCGCCGGATGGGTGCCAGGGAAAAGGAAGGTCCTAAGCTGCGTATTGGATCAAACAGGGTCTCATCTTTGCTTGAATCTTGATCTCTGGATCCAGGCCGTTCTGTTTGCTGCATGAGCTCTTCTTTTGATATGTAACTAATAGTTCGATCAGTATCACTGTAAATGATAAACGATGGCGCATCTATACCTACATTTTCATTCCTTTCGATGTACCATCATTAGGACTTGTTTCTTCCCCAACGGCGGCGGCGGCGGTCTCGTTAACCGACGTTGCATCTCCAGAGCTGGGTGTAGGTTCATTCATTGCGGGAAAACAAGATAAAGACTCGGGTGGGGGCGTTGTAAGAGGAGCAACTACTTTTCCCCATACTGGCTTTGGACTGGATGCTAATGCTGCTGCCATTTCTTGTTGTTGTTGTTGCTGCTGAAGTTTCCGGCGTTCCTTTTGAGAAAGCTTTTTGGGAATATAAACAGGTGGTGACTAGCAAATAAAGATAAATAAGCATATAGGTGTCATCATTGAATACAACTTTTGATTTACCTTTCCAAGTGAGGAAGGAGGTGTGGATGAAAGATCAGGTTGTTCTTCCATAATCTCACGCAACGATCTCTTGTTCTCAACCGAATCAGATGCAATAGCCCATCCAGGTCTACTTGTTCCAACCTCCGCCGTAGAGACCTCCAAGGCGACACGTTTGCCTTTCTTTTCTCGCTGCGATGGCTGCTTCTTTTTACGTTGCTCCTTGATAGGTGGCGGTGGTGAATGCTGCTGATCTTCTTCATCCATTCGGAATACACCTCCATCCACATCATCATCACTCTTGGAAGTACTGCTTGTTGCAATCTCAGGCATGATCGTGACGAGCGTCTCTGCATAATTTGAAATGATGGGCTGATCTTCAAGTGATTGCGTGTAGAGTGAGTCCGAAAACTCAGGATCGTACTCATCTTGTCTTGTTGTTGCTGCTGGCTCAATCATGTTGGCTTGTCGAATAAATGGCATCTCATCCGCTTGACACGATCGAACATGCTTTTCAATATCCCGAATGAGCTTTGACTCCAAGTGATCCATCATGCTAAGCAAGCAATCCATTGTTCTCTTAGTCTTTTCTTGTCAAATCCTAATGACGTGTTTACTTACCCAGTGGCCATGAGTACATCCACATTGGCAGTGATGAATTGTAAACATGCATGCTTGAGAGCGTCCGCCATAAAGATATCTGATGCTTCGAGCAATGAGGGCACTGAACGTAAACCAATGAACCGTAATAAAGCACGTTCACAAATCGATTTTAATCGATCCAATAAAAGTTCATCCGCGAGACATAACACCTCCACCAGGAATCGCATCATGGCATCGGCGGTCTCTTTGCATATATCACCGAATAGCTGCATCTCGTCCAGGTCACCATATAAATATCGCAAGAATGGCACTGCTACTTCCTTTGAGACATGGGTCATATTCACATGCAAATAGGATGTTTGTTGCTGTCGTCGGGATTGCATCCAAATTGATCCAGGCTCGAACAAAGCACCAAAGAATCCACAACGTTGCCTTATAATCATTTCATGACATAGCACTTTTTCACCATCTTTGAGATCCAGACATACGTTGGGTTGGGATCCTCCTTTTCCTTCTTCTTCGAATAGTCTCAAAAGATCCAAAGTGAGCGTTGGGCGAGGTACGTTGCTAAATGAATGTATTGCCGAATCATGCAGCTCGTCGAGTTCAAATAAGGAGGCGAGTGCTGCAAGGTCCTTTCCTACTACCGCTGGAGAAGCTGAGTTGTTGCTGCATCGTGCAAGATTTGGAGTATTGTAATAGGCACTCATTGGATGCATATAAACGTCCGTGTATAAATAGTCAAAGAGAAGATGGAATGCTGCCATGCTGTAATCTTTCATCAGTCGTATTTCAATGCGTTTGTCGTGACGAGCAATCGACAATGCAGGATGATGAAAATTTCCACTCGTTTCGAATAACCGAGAAAAGAATCGACTACGGCAGGCAAGGATGCATTGATGGCAATAGAGCTTTCGATTTCCATCACCAGAAAGAACGATCACGGCATCCAATGTTGTATCTCTGACAGCAAGTTGTTCAGCGTATTCCCATGCGCTATCCACGGCATTTCTTAATTCATCCTCAAATAAATCGTGTGCCTTTTGTCGCTCCATAGCATTGGTATCCTTATCCACCTCGTCACTGCTATCATCAACTCGTCGCATCAAATCATCCACCTTTTGATTGTATTCGTTCGTGATACGTTTGATATCTCGATCCAATCGTTCGGCAGCGATGATGTGTGGTAAACTCGTTTTAATATCGGATATCAATGTTGATGGCGTTGTTGTAATATCATCCACTTCAACCTCGGATCGAATCCCTGAAAAGGCGCCGCTGGGACTAGCACAAACGCGTATACACCTTTGTAGATTGGGTATGATGTTGAACTTGTATTGTCCATCCTTGCCAGCCTTTCCCACAAACACTTGTCCACAAAGGGTCGATACAATGAGTGCACCATGATGTCCAAGGCTCGCATCTGTCGCTGAAAGGTATGGTTTCTTCAATAGCCATACACGCTTTGGTGATGAAATTGTAACATGCTTGGCTTTGACTCGATTCTTATCCAGCTGCTGCTGACGTGAACCACCACCCGTGTTGCCTTTGCAAGTCCACACATAGACCTCGCCATTATTGGATATCGCACCAAGATAGTCATCAACACCCGTGATAAGCCTTACAGGATAATGGGCTGCCGAATGATGAACTTGGATACTGGAAGGAAAACGGTCCGTAGGTAATCTATTATCAACCACACATATCAGCCATCCCATTCCTTAATTCCCAAGGTAACACATCACTTACATAATCCTTTGTTGGCCATAGTTACATAAAAGAGAGATCTCATGTGTCTCAAATAATACTGCTGTTGCATGATCCTAAAATCAAATGTCAGCTTTCATTTGATCACCCTTGTTGCCATCAATAAATCACATACATTGGCCTTCACATCTTTGATACGTGTACTGAATGCAACTTTTCTCGGCAATACTTGACGTAAATCATCACCAGATGCATGATACCCTATCAAGCCGTATCCATGTCAACCAATTGTCAACCCATCCTTTAATTCCTTTGAGACCATACCTAGCTGTCCTTGATTATATCCAAAGGTAAAGACCTCATATGCTGTATACACCACAGAGTGTACGGAAGACGCTGCTGCACCAATGATTGCTAATTTCTTGAGTAATGGAGATTGCACCTTTCGAGGGAAGAGCTGGTACTTTTCATCGCTCTCGTAGCCTAAAAGAAACACGCTATTAGCCATGATAATGACGCATGCATCCATCCCAACAACGTACCGAGTTGACCATTCTCATTGCTTCCAAACGTAATTACATTTCCATTCTCAGTGATTGCGATGGTGTGATCGCGACCTAGGGCAACGGCAGTGATACGTTCAGGCCACTGCAATGGTGTTGGTATCAATTGGGTGTCCTCCTTTTTGCCGTTGCCAAGACGACCTCCATGGCCGAATCCACAGAGTAAAAGATTGTTGCGTGGTTCGCTTGTAAGCACTGCTGTGTGATACTTTGACATGTGGACACGTTCGATCAAAACGGATGGGCGACGCATGATGTGGGGTATGTGTTGCGACTCCAATTGAAGAGAGACACGTTCTGGAAAGGTTCGACTTTCAGAATCTGGATGACCCAAGACATAGTTGGTGTTGCTTCCCCATGTGTATAAATCAGTTCCTCCAGAAAGGATTGGTTCCTTGTTTGATCGTAGTATTGAATCATGCAAATCATCATCTGCTTCATCCCTTGTTGTTGTTGAATTGTCATTGTCATGAAGAAGATTACGTTCCAGTCGTTTCATATTGCCCAATGATACTGTCAATAGCTCTAGCGGTCGAATGCCTTCGTAATCTTTGATGTTGAGATCGATATCTGGATGTTGTAAGAGCATCAGTGCAATTTCCACATTCCCGGTATAGCACGCCCTGTAATGCAACAATGCGTTAGTGCACTTATACTACCAAACCCTATACGCATACACACATACCTGTGCAAAGCTGTCCATCCATTCTCGCGATCTTGGATATTGATATTCACCCATGGACAGTCCAAAAGTAACTTTGTAATCGCAATTCTGTTCCATGACGCTGCACAATGGAGAGCTGTTCTTCCTCTTATCGATCGTTTGTTGAGGTTAACTTGACGTTGTAGTAGTTTGTGATGGTGGTGGTGGTGGTGTTTAGAGTTGTTTGGTTGTGGTTGTTGCTGTTGCTGCGGTCGATCTTGAATTAAGGTAGTGGTGATGGTGGGAGAGGGTCGTGTTGCAATGCCGGTGGACGTTGCTTGTGTGTATTCGCGAATTTGGTCTACATTGTTATCTTTGACTAGTTTGAAAATGTTGACCATCGAAAATAGAACGTTGGGCAAAAGGCGTCGATAAGCTTGGTGCAAGCGAGAGAGCAACGAAAAGAAAAGGCGGCAACATGAGTGGGGCCGATGCTGGCTCTGCATTTCAAGTCAGAATTTCCTTCCTCCAGTCGATCGCTATGCACGTCTCACGTGGATACTTGATATATAACCATAGTGAATAGATAGCAACACGTGATAGATAGATGCTTGGTTACTAGAAAGATCATTAAAGATGGCTCTATAACATCAACCTGGCCCCACTAATTCAATATCGTATACAAAGAAGGCTATCCCCACTGACACCACACCTTTGTATCACCCTTATGACAATGCTGCATTACTTGTCGCGGTTTCTTTTAACCCCTTCTTTTGGTGGTTTTGGTCCTTTTTGATTTTTAGTGCTCCATTCAGCTTTCTTTATTAAGTGTGTCATTGTACTTTTCGTACTCAAGATGGCATTCCCAATAACCATTTATCAATCTAGCATTATCAATGAGGTTTATTCCTACTTTAATCTCAAGCTGCTTCTTGACCATTGAAAAAGTGGCACTTTTCTACTCTCATAAAGCTTCGAGTCAATCAACCCCATTTACCTATCGACCTTGTAATGGTCATGTATGATCAATGTTAGTTTTTATCTCGAGTGATGGGTAAAGCAACAAGCATAAAGCAGTGGACCAATGTAGAGTGATGATCATCATGATTCAATCTTGTAGGCCAATCCAATTCAAGCTGCCGGTGCCTGAACTTGCTCTCCGATCTCTCTGCATTTATCTACCTCTTCCTTATGTCAAACTCACAACCCAAAAAGAGTGTGCTGGTATGCTGAATGCCGTCGCCATGACACCTCATGCAATGCCATTGACATGTTGCTTCATTGTAGAACTCGACGCTGGCAGGTGCTGTGGCTGGTACGGCCGAGTTGCTTGTAATGCAGGTAAATGACTTCTCCTCACACCTCAACTTTGAAGCTTGTACTCACCTATGAAGGGTATTCCCGGGTGCTAGCCAACGGATGTGATCAAGACACGCTTTCAGGTACTATACAACACGTGTGTATATGGGCTATGATGAAATGGAGGCTTATTTTTCTTGTAGTCTTTACGTGTTGCATCCCATTACCAAAACGGCATTTTCAAGGCGTTTCAACAAGTCATCAAGGAGGAAGGGTTCGCAGGTATGGATTGATTTTGATCACCAATAGGATATAATATTGATAGGATCTCCTTCTTATAGCACTCTACCGAGGCACGATCCCTGTGTTATGTATCGTAGGACCTCGTGTGTCATTGCAATACATGGGCCTAGCACTCTACAAACCATTATTTGAAAAAATGGAAGGTACCATTTTACCATCACATAGCTCGGCAGGATTGGCAGGCGTAAGTATACGTATGGTCTAAGCGGGCTCATTGTACTGATTACCGGAAATCCAGATATGCACGGGCATTACACAGGCTGTTACTCTTGGTAAGTTAAGGTTTGATTCAAATCATGCAGTATACATTGACATGGATTGCTACTATTAGTAACGCCACTCGAACAAATCAAGGTGCGACAGCAAACGGACCTAATGAATCAGGCGCATGAACGCAAGTATCGAGGACTTTTGCACACAGCGTCATTGATCGTAAAGGAAGGAGGGTAAGTTTGGGAATATTATAACAAGGTATGTTGCTTTGTCGCTGACAAGGATGATAAAGCCTTCCAGCATTGTATAATGGATTACTTGCAACAGTGGCAAGACAATCGTGGGGTAAGATATGACATGGATCCAGTGACGATAATAGTACTCATGCTGTTTTCTTATTGTAGGTTTGGTTGTCAAGTTTAACGGATACCTTGAGATCAAGGCCATGTTTGAGCGAGCATCACCTGATCCTGAACAAACGCTTGCCCCTTGGAAGCATATGGTAGCACCCGCCATGAGTCGTATACATTGTGGATGCTAATACGTTCATCATGGTAGGTTAGCGGCGGCTTGGCTAATGTGCTGGTTGGTGTATTAAATTCACCTCCGGATGTTGTCAAAACAAGGTTTGTGTCTTTTGGAATATCAAATGCAACATTTTATACTCATGCATATGTGAAAGAATGCAAGATGATAGCCGTCCTTATCGAAGCACATGGGATTGTGTGAAATCAATGGCACGCAATGAAGGATACTTATCATTCTTCCGTGGATCATGGTTGCGTGTGATTCGTATTGCTCCTGGTAAGATTTGATCAAGAGGGTGATAGCAGCAAAAGTACTCACGCATGCATTAAAGGTGGTGCCATTCAGTTTGCGGTCTATGAACAAGTTTCGGCATGGCTTGAAAAGAATAGGCAATCTCAATGAACTTAGAAGTCATTCGTATCACGTTCAAAGATTAAAAAGTGCTTAGAGTTTGATATGGGAATCTTTATTTAATGTACAGGCACAAGAGTTTGATGCGCATGATATGGGGCATATACACATGTATGACACAACTCAAAAGCGGCATTTAAGACGCGTCTCCTCTCAAAGTGTCCGCTCTTTTCCACGAGACTCCCTCTTATGGCTGATCACCGTTTCGTGGAGATCCACCAGACTCGCTCCTCCACAACAGTCGACAAGCTATGGGCAGCATTGGCGGATACCAGTTTGACACCCATTGCAGCGTCCAATGTCTGTGAAAAGATTGTCGGCAAAGTGCTATCCAATGACTTGGCATTTCTCGACGCACTGCTTCATTTACAGAATCTCGTTCTGACCAGCACCAACAAGCTCAAGACAAGCATCTTCCTTCGGTCCATATCGAGTCTATTGCATTTCCATTCGAGAGCGTTGTATGCATCGGTTGAATTTGCAGTAGCAGCTTCACCTTCGGCAACTGTACACCCATTCATTGTCATATCTCAACAACGGCCTGATCTTTATGATGACCTGCTCCAGGAAGCCGACTATCTATTGAACCCACCAGAGGGTGATGATGATGATGGTGATGATGGAGTCTCTCTCCTTGGATCACTTGACAGCTTTTTTGATCGCATCCTGCTATCAGCCGATGTCACGCGTGGTACCGCTTTACTCCAACGACTCAGCAATCCATTCCCATCCATGGATCAACGACTCGAGATCTACTATTACATCAGTGATGTGATCAAACGTTACCCTACCAGACGTGGCACCTCTTTGTATCTTCAATTGGTGGATTTTCTTGTGGGCGTCTTTCAAATCCCAGATGCACCTGAGGAGGAGGTTAAAGCCATAGCAACCGACATATTCTTTGATTTGCTATGCCGATCATACGATGCAGCAACCGATGGCGATTGGACATTACCCTTTATTCAGCGATTGTATCGGATCATTCAATCAGTGGACATTTGCAGCGGACAGCCATTGGTATCACCTAATCCACACCTCTTTTGGGCAAGCTTGTCGTATCTGCTGATGATGGTGCAAACCGTTCGCGATCAAGATGTCATATTGAGTATGATGCGTGATATCATACAAGCACACTCTCTTGGAAAGATGGCATTGGTTGCTATTTTGCCATTGTTTCAAACTTGGGCTGAAGTGGTCGAGGAGGATGCACTCACAAAGGCACGAAAGGCGCGTGCATTGGAACTGTTATCGTTTTTGAACAAGGCAGCAGAGAACAATGAACCATCAAAGTCAAAAATCCTCGAGGAGGTAAGCATATTCACGGATGGGTTTCATATGAAATGGACGCTAAACGTTATTGCATAATAGATTCAGCGAGATATTCCAAAGTATTCAATCCATGGCAGCATGTCACACCTTATCACCCACGTGGATCAGTTTTTGCAAGATCGTCATGATTGGGATACGACGATGCCATTAAACAAAGTGTCTCTCGCCCATTCTTTGTTATTCACCACGCCTTATGTATTCAACAATGAGGTTGCTATACGACACAAGAGTATGAATCGATTATCAGCTTTATCATCAACATCGACCGACATGCACTCTTTCAAGTTCCCCGTCTTTATGTTGTTGCTCTATTTGATGCGCTCACACAATGCCATCGCTGGTGACACTTTTCTCTATATTTATCACACTGTCTTCCCATCGCTTGTGGATTTGAATGATCCTGTGACAACATCCAAGATTTTGCAAGTCATTCTTCCAATGGTACAAGGCTCATTTCAGCTTCAGGCACGTGATTCGACCATGGCGGCTATTGGATTCAAGGTGCTAGTGAAGATGTTTGAACGTCAACCTCGCGTATGGCATGAATTAAAACGGGTGATTGCCAATTGGATCCTGCATCGTAAATCAGCGACACGACCAGAAGAAAAGGGGGCTGTTCAAATGGAACTTGCTGTGTTGACAAGTATGCGAGATCTTTGCAAGCACCATTCTCGACAAACCGCTCAAGATATACTTCCTATGGCTATTTCCCTCTTGCAGACTTGTACCAACCTCAACATTGCATCTCTTGCTGTGATTGTCCAAATCATGAACGCATGTATTCGAGCCGAGCTAGGAGAACCACGCTCCTTGTGGACCGTTGCCATCAGCTATATTGCTGTTTTTGCAAAAGAGCTTCCTGTTCACCAAGTTATCGTACTTTGGCAAGGCCTTTGCGACTTTTTCAGCATTGTTGGCGATCGAGATGAAGGTATTACTTTATTGTAGTAACACTTGTGGACACTCAATTGACACATTTCACACAATGTAGTATCTGAACCCTATATGGAGTTTAAGGAAGCTATCCTTGACGAGTTTTTGGAACCACTTATTGCTTCAGAAAACGACAAAGTGAGATCATCGGCACTTTCAGCACTCGCTCATTTCCAAGCAACTGATATCCAACGCATTCTACCTGAAAAAGCCAAACAATTCACGGAGCAGATCATTGCAGCACCTGATGCCTCACACTCGGCTGTACTTGCTAAGCTTATTTCACATGAGCTTGATCATATGCGACGTGGTTTATTTGCTGAGGATACATCGAGTAATAAGGACACCACCAACAGCAGCAGCGAGCAATCTCAAACACGTTCTACACGCAATGCTATTGGCAGGAAGGAGGATGAAGCAGGTGCGATGGTTGTTAAGGAATGGGAACAAGCACGAACACCACCTGGCTTACGTGCAGGCTATGCTGTTGCGCTCCTTCATGTTTCCAATGCACATCTTGTGGATCGTAAAACGACAACGGGTGGTGATGATACATTGACCAAAGCAAAGTGGTATCGATGCATGACGACATCCCTTGCCGATATCGGTCTCACGGATCATTTGATGGTACGCATCTCCAGCTTGAGTGGATGGGTCTCCGTATTCGGTGCAGCTTTGGTTTCAGAGGAAGCGACATTTGAACTTCGAGGAACACAAATCCTCAAAGATTTGTTGGCACGACTTGAAAAGAGTACCGTACCTGGAATGACATGCAACATTCTTCTCGCTTTGGCTGGCTTTGCTATTACCACCACTCGATTATCACCCTCCTTTGGCTCCTCATGTGCATCTCAAATACTGGATGTTCTATTCGCCAAGTATATACTCTCGCCCGATCAATCCGCTGGCAGTATCCCCACCACCTTGTTGATGAGTGACGAAGTACAATTTGCAGCCTATTTCAGCTTGGGTTATATAGCCAGCTGCACCATTTCCAATGAAAAGATGGCGTCTCGCATTCTTGGCATGCTCGTGGATGATGTAACGGCAGAGGATAATGGTCGAAAGATTGGTGCAGTAGTGGATTTGGTGCAACTTGCTCGAGGCTATGCAGCAGGTCATTTCACAGCAGCATTAGCTACATGGCCTACCAAGACGCAAGGCATTGACACGCTCAGCAAATCGGGTATCTCTACGCTATTGGACTATTGCAATAGGCCCTGTCAGCAAATCTCGGAAGGACGTGCACTTGGTATCATGATGGGATGGGCATCCAATATTCATGCAAATGATATGCAAGATGTCACGTGGTTCGCCAAAGAGACACTCAAGCTGTTTGTTGAAGAAGGCTCGACGCGCAATATCAATCCAGGCATTTTGCTTGGTGCTCCATGGGTGGTCGCTTATTCATCTGGTAATGGGCAATACAATGAGGGTCTATCAGTATTGGAACAAGCAAAGAATATAGCATTGCGTGATGTAAGTATGCACATAGCAAAGTCGTAAAAGGAGAATAACGTATTAACTTCTATATGCTAGTCAACACTCTCTGGATATTGCTATCATTTTAGCATCCCTATTGCGCATGTCAAACGCGTTTCCATGATTGCCAGTACCGATCAAACTGAAGCAAGTGCTCAATACATGGCGCTTTTACACAACACCTTGGATATCAACAACATTACATCATTATTCGAGATTGGAAGTCTTCTTGGCGTTGATTATTTGAATCCAGCAGTGGATCCAGAGGTCTTGTTGGATGAAGCACGCAAATACGATGGCGGAGCACGACTTGATATTTTGGATAAGCTCATGTCAACAGCTGGTTTATCTACACCTGGAGGTACTGCAACAGTGGGTGATTTGCGAACAGCACGTATCGCAGCCATTGTATGTGGTAAAGTCAACCAAGCAGCGGTGGATATGCGTAATGCAAGTGCTATCGATCAAAATACTGCCGGCACCAACCAAGTGTTATTGAATGCATCCACTGAACCCAAATCCTATGGACGTTTGAACAACAATACAAGTTATTTGAGGGCCGTTTTCGACAGCTTGACCGATCTCGTTCGATACCCATCATCCCATGGTATCCAATGTATGCAAACGTTGATCCAAAGTTTGAGTGAAACGCCAGGACCTCTACCACCAGTGAATTGGTTCCAACTCCTTGCAGACATTTCATCCGTATCGCAATCTTTACGTGCTAAATGTATCGAGTTTGCAAGTGTGCATGCATCCACTTCCATGTCGTTGACCGAGTACATTGTTTCTGAACTCACTGTTTGCGATCCTGGTGTTCAGCGCATTCTCACGGGTGAGCTTGGTCTTGGCAAAATATTGGAGTTGAGTGGATTACCGAATCGCAATGTCTCTGGCACGGGCTTTAAACGACGAGGCATGGATGCAGTAACCAAAAAGTCAAGTATCTCAGAAATGCGGTGCATTGAAATCTTTGAACCTTATGCAAAGCGACTATCAAAACTACCCCATGATATCCAGGTACACGCTAACACACTATGCAATACGATCAAGTGAACTTATTTTCAACATGTAGTTGACATTGCTATCCACATTGTGTGATCACCTTCCACCTATCCATGAGACGGCTGAGGATGAACATATGGAGATGCTGATCCGAACGATACGCGATATGACGTACTTCAACTTCACCATGCCACTCATCACCAAAGACACTGGAAGATACCTCGGTTTGGGTATTGAAAAGCTGGTATACAAGGCGATTGATTGCAGTGTTTTGGAATCGGAGAAGCTTGGCCAATTGACAAAGCAAGATGCATACATCTACACGACTGCTATGGCTGAAATGTGTCGATTGAAACGAACAACGCGTGCAACACAATGGATTACGGATGTGATGCGACAGCTTATTGTTCAAAAAGTGGATGATAGCCGTACGTGGAATCAGGTGACACGAGCCATGCTGCAAACAGAATGCAAATCGAATGAGGAACGTATAGCATGGATGGTGCGTATGCTCGATATTTTGATTGTCATTGCAAGCGACCGATCCCTCGAATCCAAAACCGAAACCATTCGACAATGCGTGACCTGCGCTTTGAGATATACAGCAATGGCCCTTTGGTGGTGGTCAAATCTAAAGACACAAGCGTCCTCAGCGGCAGAAGATGGATTCAATCGACTCGTTACATCCTGGGAGAGTGGATATATGCTAGCTGATATTGTTGCAAGAGGAGATGCTCATCATGCTGGCCAACAACAGGTATGCCCCTCTTCCCCAATTCAATGTATCCTTCCAATTTGCTAACCATGTTTATGTTAGATGATCAAACGCATCCTAAGAGCAACCTCTCTTATCGACGACGACTATACCAAACATGTATTGATTGCAGCCATACAACAATGCCCTCCCGAATCCTTGAATCAGCAAAGTAGCGAGCAGATAATCAAGCTTCTTTCAGAGTTAAATAGACAATAAAACAATGCCACTCTATTATCCATTGTACTTTTATGCAAAGCTAACTCCCAAAGTTGGATAAAGAACAACTATATACATAATCAAATCTCTATGACCACGTGTTTAGCTTTTCTTTATACTTCCACATCATCCATTGAATTATATATGTATCCATAGCAACAAGAAGTTGCAACATCTAATGCTGCAACAACAACAAGATCACGTGATCTCGCAGATCAACAAAAAAAAAACAAAAAGAGAATATTGTCCCTGTGAAAGGGGACGACAACAGCAGGATTTGAACCTGCGCGGGCAGAGCCCATGAGATTTCTAGTCTCACGCCTTAACCACTCGGCCATGTTGTCATCTCTTTCGCTTTCTCTACACTTTTCATTTT